CACATAGAGGAGCCACCTGAGAGGAGCCGATTACTCCTGATACCCAGCTGGATATATACCCAAGAAAAATTTCTAACAAATTAGAGGGATAAAATATCTCCAGCAAGAATTTTTGATACATTTGATAAATTCTCGACCACAGATTTAAGACTTTACTTCCCAGCAGAACAGCCGAAACCTCAGTTCCCAGCCAGCAAAATTTTCTCTGTAGAACAGATATTGTGAGGAACAGATCCGTTGGGTGCCCCTGTATTATTCATTTCATTGTTCTACGCGCTGTTCAAGTTCTCAGCACATTCACCATCCATGCCTAAAATCCATTCGATTCCTCTACTTCTCACAGGATCACTTGCAATCGACAATTGGGATCATTTGCGGCATGTACAGTAGTTTAATAGTAGTCGCGTTAATTTCCAGCACCTTCGATTCATTTTCATGGAAGGTTAATTTCCGAAAATAAGGTAGCATGCATGCATATCATCAGGAACACGAAACTTTGGTCCTCCGTTGTTTTGTTTATTTTGCTTTATATGCAGTAATAGTTCTTTATATGTTGTTAGTAATAGTTTGCCTTTTCTCTGTTAATCTTGTAATTATTAATTTTTATTCTCATTGTAACTTAGCAGCACATTGTAACTCTCTGACCTACGCCATATAAACCTCTGGCTTTGGCATCTTATTATCGTTAACTTGTGCTTTGTGTACTTATTTATCAATAAAGATTAAAGATTAATTGGTAACGTCTTTTTGTGCATCAAGAGCGACAGAATGGTAGGTCGAGAATAAAAAAAATACAACACAAACACACGCTGTCACTTTTTATTGTGAATCTTTATAAAAGTTGGGGCGTGTTTTCTTTACTCCATACATTCTCTTTTAAAATTCAACTGTAAACGAACTCTCTATAGAGTCAGGGCTGCTTTTGTTTTGTTGACGTTTTTAATTAAGCTTATGTAATCTCATGAGAACACACTATGCCGTGAAAACAAGCCTTGTAGCAGTCTCTTTCACTTAAAATTCAGTTGTATTTCGCCAAAAAGAAGTCTTTTTATCCTGTAGTTTGTTGTTACATTTCTCCATAATTTTCTTCGCTGCATCACGGCCATTAAAAAAATGTCTTGTTACGGCTTATGAGGGCCAGAAACAGCTTTCTAAGGATCCCGTGGTTCTTCCCCTTTACCCCTTCACCAGAACTTGACAGCCAGTTCGTGAGAGATTATTCTCTCTTGGGACGCTATTTGTAAGCAGAAGGTTCAAAAAATCAAGAAAAACGTATGCGCGTCTGCATTTAACAACTACCACGTACGCAACCATAATACACCTAAAACAATTCATTACATATTTTCTGTTTTATTTCTTTATTAATTTTTAACGGATTAGCGATAAATCCTAATTTTGGCTCGACTTTGCCCAATCAAAATTCAAGATTTGTTCCTATTAAGCGAACGAGAAAACTAAAGGACAAGGTTACTTGGGCAAAAAGATTATTTTGTTCTAATAACAAATGACATTGTGTTTAGTGGTGACCGTTTTTAACTCTTCCGAGTCCATATTTATCTCCAATCATTGTAAGAATACAGCATTGCGATCCACCTTTTTGCATCTCGTGAGATTTCGTTCTGGTCTCGTCTATCAGGGGCGGATCTAGGGGGAGGGTGCAGGGGGTGCGCACCACCCCCCCCCCCCTGAGATGACCTACCGTTTTCTAATACAACTGGTATTCTGCCCAAAAAAAAACTATGTGGTTTATTGGTGTTGAAGTAGAGCAAGAGACGAGTGCACCCCCTCCTAAAAAAATCCTGGATCCGCCCCTGTCTATGGAAAATATCAACCATGCCAAGTTTTTCAGCCAATGTAATCCTCCCGCCAATGTTTTTAAGTCGGACGATATGACGTCATGCGTGATCCAAAATGGCGGAGTTTCCATTAGATGGACTTTCAAGGCTCAGAGAAGGTATAGACTACCAGCAGTCCCTTGTTTTCCTTCAGGGTTAGTAGATCGGGGGAAATACGCTAGCGCGCGCGCAAATCGCCACCGGCGACGAAGGGCAAAGGCGACCAGCAAGTTGAAGGTTTTCATGTATAAGATGACAACATCCAAATCCTGCTGTTTAATCTAAGACAAATTTACATTAACAATAAGAGAGCAAGGACAAAACCGACTTGACTACTAACGATGTTTCGGACGGACAACCCGTCCTATTCCCTAAAAAATAAAAATAAAAACAGGAAAACTCAAGTCGCTTTTGCCTTTGTTATTTTATAACTAATTTTACATTCCTTCAGAATGTTTGGATGCTTCTCCTCTTGTGAGGCAATTTGACGGGCGCTCGAAAAAATTTTGAAATGCGCCGAAAATAAGGGACTACGTGTAGTCTCAAAGAACAGTCAGTATAACTAACACATTTTCATGTTAATGTTTCTTTTTGGAAAAACAATGTCCCCTTGTCCCTTGTCTCAAACTCGTTAAAAGGGCCTCTCTTCTTCCCGCCTCTCTTTCGCACCAGTGGACAGGAAGTAGAGATACCACGGTAACGAGATTTCCCTGGTCCTTAGTCTACTAGCTTTTCATAATAGTAGAAAGGCTTCTAGTCCAAATCTGATATATCAGTTCAACGGTTTATCACAAGTAGTGTACACTAACTGTTGTTATAGAAGACTTGTTAGATGCCATAATTCACATATCAATATTTATATGTTTCTTCAAGTTTCTTGCTAATCCAATCCTTTGATGTGATTGGTGGATATTTATTAGAGCCGTCCAGACAGGTAATAACTGCCTCGTGATCAGGATCAACAAAAAACACTAAGGAGCGTCGTGGAACACGTCGCCTGATTTCATCTTCCGGTATAAGCACACGATGAACCTGTATAAATAATGAAGAGTAACTAGTAAGGCCAATGCTGCTTGAAAAAACTGTTTCGAAACATTAATGTTATATAGCTGGGATTGCTGGCATTTTTCCCAATAATGCGCTGCCTCATTTTTTACTTCAAGGTCATCTGACGTCTGACAATAAAACTGTTTCCCGCCAAAAGTCTCAGAGTGGGCAACAATAAATCTATGACGTAAGAGCACCAAGAATCGGCCAATGTTGACCGCTTGCAAAGATTTTTTGGTTCCAGTTTGGCTATATACTTGTTTCCCGCGCGACTCACCGCTCGCAGTCTTTTACGCAAGGAATTTATTGATTAGTGATTGTTGGATGCAGAAACTTCAGGACACATATTTTCGGTAGCTTTCGTGATTGTTGTTTGCCAGGGTAAGGCCATTAGCTTATCTCGAGAAAAAGTGGCTACTGACGCAGTTTTATTTTGCTAGAGCGAACGGCCTTATTCCACGGGGAAAGTCTCGATGTAATCGCAACTGTCAATGCAAACATGCTTTTAAAATTCTTCTCAGTAGAAACCAGGCATTTCCTCGGTCAGTATTGTTCTTACGTATTTGTGCTACAAGATACAAGCTTTTACTATGTGAAGTTGTAGAATGCTACAATTAGTCACAATACATTGCCCAGAGCTCAAACAAAGCGAGTGAATAAAATAAGGGAAGATAATGTACATTTACGTCCTAAGAGCCCTTAGAGCTTGTTCAAACCTTGACCAGAGTAAAACGAGATAAATTTGCACTTAAGCTAAGTACTTTAAAGCTACGGTCGTCATATTCAATGTTCATAGTTTAATGCTAAATCCAGTGTTCATTGACAGTTAACTTCAAAAGTCTTTTAAGAGTCTGGAAACAGAAGATGCGGACTTGTCGGCGCCAACTTGTTTCGAGCGCCATGACTTTTTGAACAAAAAGAAACTCGTAATTCTGGGGATAAAGGAAGACGTATTTAATATCAACGAGCTGCTCAATACTCTTTTGCCCGTTTTCACCCTCGAAAGCAAACGAACAAACAAAATGATGAGCTTGAGGAGCAGTTCAAATTACCTACCGTTGATTTGAGTTTATCTGCAGTCCATCTCTCCATCAAATCTGCAACATTCACCAGTACTGTTCCTTTCATGGGTCTGGCAGGCACAAACTGTCCTTCAATATTAGTAACCTAAATGAAACCAAAATGCCTTCTTAAGAAAACTGGCCTCTCGGCTTTCTAGTAAGTTAGAGAAAGATGTACAACCTTCCTTGGTACATGTTATTTTTTAGTTAGAAAAACAAAGCTTAAACAAAGGTTAAAACAAAGGTTAAAACAGCCTGTTCCTGGTGTTCAGATCGTGGGCACGGCACCAAGAGATGTGAGGAGAAAAAAATAGCGATGGATTGGGGTGGGGAAGGAGATCTCCTTATTTTTCCTCCTCTCTCTCTGACTTTGCGCCTCACCCCACTATCTGAATGCCTGGAACAGGCTAAGGGTTAAAAGCATTGTAACATTCTCACCTCCAGTCCACCAACTTCATCTTGAATCAGTAGTGTAATCCCACCATAATCCGTGTGTTCCCCACAGCGAATCTGACCTGGCTTGACTTTGGTAATATCTGTTATCATGGGGTAGAAATTATACCTTAACTGAGTCCCTCCTAACAATGTTCCCCTCTTTTCATAGGCATAGGCAAATGCATCTGGGTTCTGTTTTAAAAAGAGGAAAATCAATCACTTTTTCATCATTCCATGTTCATTTACTGTTTGTGAAAACCACATTTTTGAAGGGTGGCTTTTACATCTATAGCCTGAAAAAACAGCTGACAGTTTGCTTCAACCAGTCAGAAACACTACCCAGATCTGAGAGGCCGGGACATGTCATCAGTATGGAATTTCTGTGACTGTTCCTTGGTCGTCATTTCATAAGGAAAACGGTTGGTGGTGTTCGGAAATGTCAGCTGCTTTCTCAGGCTTATACATTCAAGAAAATACAGTACTAAGTCACATATGTATATACATGAATTAATTAATGACTAGGGCATAGCTAGAATTTTATATGGGGGGTCACTAAATGTAATGTAGAAATCCATGCTGTGAAGTGTTTTGGTTGCGAGGTGAGTTCAGAGAGAGGGACAAGCCTGCAAAATAGCTGCATAGATGATTTGACACAAAGCAAGAGGGAACAAATATGTTGTCTCTTTTAACCACATTGTGGCCTATACAAGAATTGCTGATGAAAATACTTTGATACACATACAAAGCCATTTTCAACAAAGTGAGCTTTCAAGCGATGGTTAATTGCAAGAGAAAAACACAGAGGTAAGAAAAACTGTGAAAGCTTTTGCTATTCGTTGTTTTTCTTACCAATCCAAGGCCAACAGCCATCACAGACAGCACCCTTAGAGCAAGGTCTGATAAACATTTATAAATAGACATCACATTGGCTTGAAAGTTTGGCACATCAGTATTAGGCCAGTTCTGTAACAAAGAGGCATTAATCAATTAACAAATGATATTAACAATATTAATAATCATGTCCAGTAATAATCACCGTAGAGTCCCGATAATTTCGAACCTTCAAGGGAAATAGAAAAAAGTTTGAGTTATTGAGGGTAAAATTATATGGAAAATCATCTGAAGGGAAGGCTAATTATCATTATATAAAAGGATATATTAATAGGCCACCATTATGAAAGAGGTCTTTGGTCCCATACACACACTTGAATCAGTTAGATCTTTCAGGTAGATTTCAGGTGTTGCAACCTTCGTCAAAAAACTTAGTCAGATTAGTCAGTTATCTGCTAGCAGATAACTAACTAATCTGTAGGTATCACTGATTTCCAAAATTAGCTGTAGCTCTTAGCCACTGAGAAGACAGATAGTGAGTACAATGTATAATAATATAATAATAAATATGTGAGCTGAACAAAACCTGATTAACTTGTTTTTCAATTTTATTCTGTTCTAGATTAACAACTGCCACTAACTTACAAAATTTTCATCATAGACAGCTCCCACATCAAATGATTCTTTAAGATCACCAGGCCTGTCAGGGTTAGTGCTACCAGATAAAAAAAAAAAACAAAAACAGGACAATTTGCACTGTCAAAGTATTCACATAACAGGTAAAATAGAAAACCAATAAAACAGAAAGGCATATGTATTAAACAAATACCATATTTATTCTGTTAAACACCACAGAGTTTACTCAAGGGCGAAGTTTAATTTTAAAATTACTGACAACAGAACTTTACAGTGTAAATCGTTTGAAAATATTACGTAATTTAAAGGTTCCAATGTCTCTCATTTTGCTAAGATAGAATCATACATGTCTGGATGTTGTAAATTACCAAGCTGACCACCTCAAATAAAGGCCACATTCTTTCAATTGTGTGCGGCATTCATTCAAGGGAAGCTTTGTTTGGTAATTTTGCTTCCATTGGCAGTGGTTAATTGAGAGTGATGTTTAATCAAATAAATCCAGTACTTTACCATGGCGAACACAGGGATTTCAACGAAAGCTGGCAAACAGAGCTCTATTGCCACCTACAACGCTTCTCACAGCCATCTATTGACGCCTTATTTTATTACATATTTTAGATTTATGAAAAGAATGAAGACAATGATGTTATGAACAAAGACTTTCTAAAAGTCTGTTTGGTTTGGCCATTGGTCAAGAGGGAAAGTAGACTTATTTCCCCTGCAGTATGCCGCCAATTGTTACTAACCAGATTTTAAGCAGGCGGGGTATTGGGAGGATGGTTTACCATCAATATTTACATGTATGAAAGCAATGGGTTAATTAAAAAATGTGTGATCCTTTGTTGGCAATACAGTATTGCTCATAAACTATGAATAGCAGTGCCAGTAAACAAAAGGAGGGAAGCTATTGTAGGCCCGCTTGGGTCCCCCCCCCCCCCCCGGGGGGGTTGGGTACCTATGTCCCTCGTCTGGATTTCAAAGCCTGTCGTTTTGCTTATTGAGGAGGAAACCATGTTGCTGTCGGTATTTTACTTTTGTTTGCGCTTTTACCTATGTCCCTCGTCTGGATTTCAAAGCCTGTCGTTTTGCTTATTGAGGAGGAAACCATGTTGCTGTCGGTATTTTACTTTTGTTTGCGCTTTTCTCTGTGGCTGTCACACTTTCAACCCATCTTTGTGTCGCTTGATGCCATTTCTGCTTTCCTATGTCAAGGCCCTGTTTCTTGTCAGAATTTTAGCCTAACAGGGCCTAATGGGAAGCTACATGCATACACAGCAGAAACAATCAGAATCTTCTGGTCACAATAAAGTTTGTCTGGACTTACAATGTAACAACCATTAATTTTGACTTTGAGAACCATTTCCCTCATAAAAACAGAGCTTTTAAAGGACAGCAATATCTTTCTTCAGCCCTTTAAACAACTGTCACCACTATGTACTTTTACTTGTTCTTGTGTTGACAAAATAATGCCTATAGATGCCTATAATTTCTACCACATCATTGTTGTCTCTGGCAGAGTTTCTACAAATTATTATGTTGGTGAAGCAGCTTTCCCTGTGGGGTCTGTACCAAATATATTTGACCCATGAGGATTTCTATCATAATGCCAGGGGATGAAAACCTCTGGAGATCTAAAATCTTGAAACTCTCTCTTCTGCATTCCACCACCCCCTTGCTCTCCCTTGCAAGCTCTCAACCATTAAACAACCCCCGACACAACTCAATTGTGTCCCCAAATTATACCATGGGTGTGACTTAAGACACTATTAGAAGTCTTACATACAGTACAGACCATCAAAATTCGGAACATGTAGAAGAAACTTTGACGTGCATAAATCCCCCAGAAAAGGAATCAAATGATGTTTTGAATTTTGGGAGAAAACGAGATAATTTCCAAACTAAATATTCCACAGAAAAGTTTAAAAGTCTATTTCATCTGTGAGATTAGGTGACCTGTATGGGAGACTAGGAGACTCCTGGATAAATATATAAATGCCCACTAGAGACTTTTTCAATCCAGCAAAAAGCCCTCTCTAATAATCATAGCAGACACCCCTAAATGAGAGAGACACCTGGTCATTCCACCCTTTAGAACTGTTTAATGAAAACCCCTGCTGAGATAGTCCACAAAAGGCTTACTAAGTTAACAGTCTCATGTTCACCCACCTCTCTCTTTCAATTGCGTCCCAGCCATTTGGAGAAGTACCTTCTTTCTTTGCATACTTTTCTTTCACTTGAACATGTAAGTTAAAAAAGGTATCATATGTCTCAAAAACAGAATCAATCTGTAAAGTAAAATATACATAATTTTGAAACAAATCAAGTTTGTGCAAAATAGTTATCTAAAATCACTGTTATCACACAATATTAATGCTGCAAAAACAAACAAACAAACAAACTCTAACAAACTCTAGTTAGTAAATGGAATAAAAAAACCCCATTTATTGAACCAGTAGGCTCATAGAAAGACTTTGTTTCACTTTAAAAAGTAATTTTTGTAAACTAAAGGACTGAACCATAACTGATTGTATTACAGGAAAAAAAAAACAATACATTCCGAGAAAGTTGGTTGTGGGCCAATCCGCAGCATAAAAAAACAATAACTCACTCAAAGCACAAAATTTAAATGTTGACCGCAAATATTTTTTAAGAAGGCAGAATGTTTCACCAGACTATTTTTTTTTTCTATATGAAACTTTAAATACAACACCCTGGAGACACATTTGTTTGAAACAAGCTGTTATTCTTTCATCTACAAGCAATTTCCTTGCCACAACTGCTGGGCTTTGCATTAACATGCGCCTTCAAGTCAAAATATAACTAGTGTTTGTTTTCCACCTCCATCATTTACTCTAATGGAACTCTCAGGAAACAGAGGCTTTCTTCAGCAGGTAAGGTCACATCTGACTCAGTAGGTTGTAATTGGTTTATTTCGATCCATATTGTTTATTTCATTTGGTGGTAAAGATGACTTGCTCGGAATGTATTGTTATTTTCCTGTAATCCTATTGGTTAACATTGTCAAGGTGGCCCCAGTTATAGTAGTCACACTGTAAAAAAGCCTTTGCCAATTTACCTATCAGGTTGAAGGGAAATTCAAAACACATTTCCAGTAATTCATTCTGCGCATCCGTTCGCTTGGACTCAAGTCAGTCTTGTTTAAGTATTGTGAGTTGTCTAATGACTTGTGAAATGAACGCTCCAGACTTTTATAAGAAAGTTTTCAACACACTTTCAAGTTTTTTGTACTTTGACACATTTAGAGGAAAAGCAGCAATTGAATGACAAGTCTCTTTTTACGAAGAGAAAAAAATTACAGTAGGTAAGACTCTCAGTAATTTATGCGTAGCTCAGATGTGTCTGAAACCATTATTAATCGATTACCATAATGACGGTTACTGGTAGTTTTGATACAAGTTTATTCAGTGGAGGTGTAATAGTGGTACCACAAACTTGGCTTAAGGAACGAATAATATTCACCCAAAATGTTTTTCTTGTTCACGCGCAAACTATGTACTTGAAGTTAACAACTTGTATCGAAACGACTGGTTTCCTCATTGACAATAGCCTGCAAACGACAGACGTTTCTCCTTGCTCATCGCCGCTGAGGGACGTTTCGCGAGGAGGGACGTCTGCAACTCAGCGGGAGAAATTTCATACTGATGACGTAAATCAATGTTTACATAATAAATGCGGTAGTCATGGGGTTCCAAATGCAAATTTGTTGAATGTTATGTTTCTCCTGGTCAATTTTGGACAAGTGTTGTGTTCATCTGCGAATGAGCTCTAGCAAAACTCAAATGTTACTTCTAGAGAATACTATATTCCACAAATATTGACTATTTTTTTAGAGATTAAATTGCCGTTACATTTGACCTTTGCAGCCTTTTGTCTTTTGTCTGTCATTTGTAAACAATAGCTAAAACAATGAAACTACTCCTTCGACCAATTAGCGCTTCTTACTGGATTCCGGACAGATTTTGCGTCATCAGTATGGAATTTCTGTCGCTGAGTCGCAGACGTTGCTCCTCAGGAAACATCCCTCAACGGTGATGAACGAGGAGAAACGTCTGCCGTTCGCAGGCTAAATGTACATTGACAATCAATATAATCAATAAAAATTGATCAAGTCGATGAAAATCGAAACTCAACACTCTTTTGATCTTCGATTTTCATCGACTTCCGATATTAATACTACCTAATACTATCGACTAAACTCAATTTGCCATCGATTTTATCGATTATCGAAATTCATCGATTGGGCCCGCGGCCGGGTCGAAAACCATACGGATACCCAATAGGTAATATAAGCGTTTTCAGACCGAAAAGGCGCAAAAACCCTACCCTGACCTATTGGCCTCATAGAGGGGAGTGCCCCCGGGTTTTTATCTATTTGGTTTAGTAAAACATAAATAAGACAGTACAGTTATCTGTAAATTATATACGTGTTTGCAGGCTACCTTTTCTTGTGGAATTCCATGGTTTTTGAGATACACAAATCCAATCGTGCTAAAAGCTTGATGAACATGATCAGCCAACTGGTTCACAGCATCACTATCTTCTCTCACGGAACTCTCGTTTTGCAAACTCATCGCGCTGAAGTCAACAACCGGAATCCCCGAAATGTTGGTCGCCATCTTGTCGAGCAACATGAAGTGTACGATGTGTACGCCTTCACGAAAGTTCCCTGCGACGACACAAGCGAGCGCGCGAGCGCGTGGTAGGGCGTCTGGAAAAGCGGGAAAGCGGAATCCGGAATAGGAACGGGAATAGGAACAGGAACAGGAACCGGAACGGGAATGGGAAGAGAAACCTGTATAAAAGCAGGGACAACATTTACCTTAATTTAAGTTAATCTGGATTTAATTCCTATTCAGATTATATACGAAAAATAAGGGGAAAAAAGGAATAGGAACCGGAATAGGAAGGGGAATATAAACAGTGTATAGAAAAATGAAAGGGAAAAGATATAATCGTTATACAAATAAAAAGCCAGAGAATGAATTAAAGAAACAAGAAAACACCCTTAAAATGTTAATCTAATTAACCTTTCTTTATCTTTAGCCTATGACACATTGTGTTTTCGTGTCAAACATAATAGCAAACTTAAGCAACGAGAACGATGGAACGATGATGGAACGCTTCTGTCTCACACAACGAATCTGAATTCTTCATCTTACCTTCCACTGTGCGAATTTGTTGAGTCAGAGCACCGAAAGACAGAAAACATCCACTTCTAGTTTCCATTTCTCATGTCCTCGACGTCAACGTTCTGGTTGCTTATTAAGGTCCCTATTGCACTCGGTTGAGGTAGATGAAGTGCTGGCTGGGATGGTGATGGAGGCGGGGGGGGGAGGTGGTACGTGTTAATACCCTTTTTAAGCTGTTGACTATCTATCTCAGGTTAACTTCCCAAATTAGCACATTACAATATATCTATGCAGCAAACCAGAGGTGTTTGGCAGCCCAATAAACGTCTCCGATGGGTGTCTCGTTTACATATGGTCTGACAAATAATATTAACATGTTATAACCTCCTTCCTGTGAGAGACAAAAGGAACCTTAAGATCTGAGCTGATCCGACAAACGGCAACGCCAGCGAAAACGCCACTGAGAAACTGAATTCGGGTCTTAATTCAAACTATTTCTCATTAATTCCAAATTGTCCAGTCTTTTAAAGGTTGGGAAATGAAGCTGGAGACCGCGTCCGAGCTCAGAAAGACACAATAAAATTTATCGCCTGCCGTTCACGTTCTCAAGAGAACTTAAGATTTGATCATTGACGTGGTAGTTGTGCATAGGCGGTGAAGAAATTGACAGAAAGCGCGATGCACTCCCAAAGCTGTTGCTTTACTTATTTAACTTGCGGCTTTTTCTACCTTCTCGTTTCCGTAATATAAAGAGATTCGTGGGGGGGGAGCATGATACCAGACTAGTTTTCTTATTTTTTGTATAAATTGAATTAGAATTAAAATAATTTAAAGTAAATGATGTCCCTGTTCTTGTATCGGTTCCCCTTCACATTGCTGTTACTGTTCCTTTGCCGTTTCCGGTTCCGGTTCCGGTTCCTGTTCCCATTCCCGTTCCTATTCCGGATTCCGGTTTCCGGCTTTTCCAGACGCCCCGCGTGGTACAGGTAGTTTACAGCCAATTACAGGTACAGACTTCACAACCGTTTCTTTTATTGTTATTATTTCTTATCCAAACACGGTGAACTCTGAGCCGTGAGGTGTTTTAAAAACGAAGGTAGGGAAAAAATGCCATTACGGCATTTCATCCTTTTAAAGAGTAAAATAAAAGAAAAATTTCAACAGTCTGGCGCACGATGATGCACCTTAAAGAACGTACGGCAGCGAGCATGAATTGAAAATCAAGCACCGAAGTAACTTTAAGAACTTTTCTCTCAGTTTCAGGCTTTTTTTTCTTTCAGTTGTGTTATTAGGCCGGTAGCTAAAACTAAGCTAGAAAGGGCAAACGGTCTATTTTACTGACGGCCCTTTGATAATCTCTGATGTGCAAAAACCTTGCATAAACTATCTCGTTAGATTAATTGTTTATGGTACTATGATCAATTGGTCCACTTTGATAAAGAAATTAATGCAAACGTATATCGTCATAGTCTCTGGGAGTATTCTAAACGTTTCCACTGTTCATCTGAATGGCATTTGACACCTCACATGACGTTATCTATCGAACCCTGTATTAGGCGGACACTTCAGCATTCCCCGAGGGTGTCCGCTGGTTTCACTGTATACGTATGGTCGTTCGTTGCAAATTAGTCTAGGTGTGTGTGTTTCCTGCTGGGTAGTGTGGGCATAATTGACTTTATCCATGTTATACTATAAATCTGGTTTTTAAAAGTATCGATGGAGTCAAACTAGTTGGAATACATCTATCTTATTCTTATTCGTATTCATAAGTTGCATTTAGTCTCTCCCATTGGTAATCATAGGCCGTTATTGAGGGGTACTTCTCAGACCCATCTAGACACTTTATTATGGTGTCATCGTCGGGATGTACAAAAAAGGCCAGAGAGCGTCGAGGAACTCGTCTGTGCCACTCCTCTTCTGGGATAGAAACACGGTGACGCTGAAAAAGAGACGGAACACAAAGTAACGTTAATAGTGATGTCATTATGGGCGGATTTTTTTCGCATTCGATGTATTTAGCATGTAAAAGGTGTATACAAGGCTACAACAGTCACCAGTGAGGCCCTGTCGTATTCGGATATTTTTGAAAACGGAGATTATTTTCTTTGTTCTCAAAAAATACGCGTCCGCACGTAGCGTATTTAAATCGTTTTCGCCCGTCCAGATGAAAACGCTAAAACGCTAGAAATACGATAGCATTCCTTACAGAGCACGCGTAACGCTAGTAGTCAGGAGCTCCAACAGGAGCCTCTGTAGTAATACAGGAAACACCCGCATATAAAAACACGTGATTTCAGGGTTCAGGCTGATTTAGTTCTTATTTATCCCATGCTTACTGAGAAATCAGCCTGAAGATGTTCTTAATAATTATGTTCTTAAACTTTGTTTCAGAAATACTACACATAACATGTTACTAGAGGTTTAGTTAGCTTATTTCATTATCAATAAATAAGTAAGAAAGTAAACAAATCAGTTAATCAATAAGTAAAATGATTATATTTGTCTAGCAACAATTGTAATTGCCTAGCAGCAACCATAGTTACGTTGTTTTCTTATTCGGACACCCTCTCCCTTATCATATAAGAACATGTATTATTTATCAGGCTGAACTGGTTCTTATATATATGGTGTTTTATGCGCCAAATTTCAGCCTGATGTTTTTAATCTATTTGTTCTTATATGCCGGTGTTTACTGCATATGATATATGACATCATCGTATCCGAAAACCTCCGTTTTCGACCGTCCCCCGGGGGCGGGGGGGGTGGGTACTTCCTTATAACAGGCTAATGGGGATGTGCCGCTGGGGATGGGTGCGCATTTTCACGACTAGATTGACTATAGATCCTACGTTCTGCGGCATATTCGTTTGCGGTCCTTTGCAGTCCCTTGTGGTTAATGTTTGTACTATAATGGTGTCGCATTTTCAATAGAGTTACTAGAATGGGGTCGCACATTTTCGGATTTCTTGGTGTAAGACAGTTCCTTATATTTACGGTTAGCAAACGTACCAGAATGTTTGTGCTGCCGATGAAAAGTAAAGTGTTCTCCATTCAATCGAAAAAATTGTTCCGTTCATAAAAACAGAAAGTGACTAAGTTGGGATCGCGAAAACTACATATTTGCCCAAAAGTGACTAAGATGGGGTCTATAATTGGCCACAGAATAGACTAACAACAACAATAATAATAATAATAATAATAATAATAATAATAATAATAATTTAAACATATCTACACAGTATTGCCCCCCCCCCCCCCCCCCCCCCTCCCCCTCCTTCCGCCTTTTTTTTAACCACGTTTTTTTTTTTCCCCACCTACCTCTTTCTCCTTTTTTTTTTGTTGGAGACCGATTCAACAAAAAAAAAAAAACAGCTATTATTACACTAAGACTCAGCGATAAGCTAGACACATCGTGTTTCAAAAAAAAAAAGCGCCTTTTTCAAAAATATCCGGATGCGTGCGGAAGAGGCCTTAGTTGTAGTTTTTGCAAGCTTACGCCCAGGCCAAACGTTGAACTTAGCTCACCAAGTTTGGTTCGTCTCATGAAAAGTTCGAAGCTTGGCCTGCTTCAGACGGACAGAACGTCTGAAGATCGTCTCCGGGGCAAATGTATGATACCGTAAAATTCCGAAAATAAGGCCCGGGGCTTATATTTTTCAAAGGCCCTTTTTGAGGGGCTTATATTCGGAGGGGCTAGGGCTTATAGTTGGAAGTAAACTTAACGTTTTTGCTTTGTTTTACTTTGTATTTGAGGGCAATTTTCCAAGGACAAGCCCCCGGGGGGCTTATATTTGGAGGGGCGATTTAACGAAGGGTTTTTTGCGTTACCAGTTCGGGGGGCTTATATTTGGAGGGGCTTATTTTCGGAATTTTACGGTATGTATGATAATGTCATAATGAGTATATTCAGACGTATATGCTTCTGGTATATTTAGCTTCGGTCGGGGAAAAATTTATTAAAATTGCTTTTTGGTCTGATTCAGTTGATCGGTTCGACGCGTCCTAAGTTCCACGTCTGACCCAACGGACGATCTTAACTTAGGTCGACCCAAATTAAGACGGCTACGAAAACGTCACTTAAAAAGTGAATGATGGCTGCTTTAAACTTTATGACGCTTATTCTATCTCGTTTAATTCGCCAAATGTCGGAAAAGTTTTTTGGAGTTGAATTCTAAAGGACTGTAAAGGAAAAGAAAAAGAAAGTTGTTGTCTTCTGTTCCCGTCCTCGCCAAAACGTGAAATTAGGCACTTTCACGTTGTAGTCGTGCATTGACGGCAACGAAATGTACAAACAAATCTTGATGCATGTGCAAAGTTGTTGTTTAGCTAATCTAAACCTATTGCTTTTTTTTCCGTTCTCGTTGCCGTCGCCGTCGCTTTACTTAAGCTCCCTAATGATTTTTGGGAGACGGAATACGGTTGGTGTGAAACAGTGTGCGTACGACTGGAAAAATCCTAGCTACGCCCTCTGGTGAATGTAAAGACTGTCCACTATGGCTAAAAAGTGGCCGTTGCAGAGGTAGCAGTAGTAGAAGTTGACGATTGTACTCAGGATAAGTTTTAAAGAGCACGTAACGGGCTTACTGTTGATTTAAGCCTATCAGCTGTCCATCTCTGCATGAGGTCTGCAACATTGACGATAATTGCTCCAGGAAAGGGCGGGGCGGGTATGTATTCAGTACATCCAAGAGGTAAGACCTGTCGAGTGAAACACAACTGGTTAATGGAGTGCAAATTATACTTCTAGTAACTATACCATCAGCTGTCTACATGAACTAAAAACCAAGTATCCGAAAGGCTCTTCCTTTCTTTCCATTCTAGATAAACCAGCGATACTGAATCGCCCTTTAGTTCCGGGCAATGTAAAAAAGGCAGCACGTATAATGTTTTGATGCTACGTAATATCCCAAGGTTAGGTTGTCCACTTTTTGTACACAAACCCTCCAACAGATTTCGACCACAAAAGTGCACCAAAGGTTTAACCTACAGTTTCATTCTCCACGACTGACTTGGGAGAGGAAAAGGTTACTACAATACCTCTAGTCCAGGCATATCATCTTGGAAAAGCAGCGTGATGGAGCCATAGTCGGTGTGCTCTCCACAGCGAATCTGTCCTGGTTTAAAAACAGCTTCTTTAGAAATGACAGGATAGTTCAACAAACGTAATGTGGTGCAATTCTTTGTTGACTCCATAACTTTGTGAGTGCTCGTGAATGTTTCTGGATCCTGCATTAAAAAGAAGAATTATGTAGTATATGCAACGGCCACCCGACCTTAATGAGCAGTTAAATGACAACTAAAAAAGTGCAGTCAAATAATGATTTAGAGGTAGCACATCCTTGTAGTGGTTCTTTGTTTACCATTTCTGGTCGAAGTAGAATTTGGAATTAGGAAATGTTGATTTTTGAGGAGAGGGGAAACCGGAGTACCCAGAGAAAAACCTCCAGGAGCAAAGGAAAAAAACAACAATAAACTCAACCCACATATAGCGTCAACACCAGGATTAGAACCAGGGCCACATTGGTGGGAGGCGAGTGCTCTTATCAATGCACCACCCTTGCTCTTTGAGCAATTTAATCCACCACAAAATGTGCATACAGTTGAACCTCCACCAATGGCCACCCCTCTACAATGGTCACCCTTTTTTGGCAGACAGTCCATAAATTGACTCTGGTTAAAACCTCTCTACAATGGCCATGTTCTTTTTTCCCCATTAGGTGACTGTCGTGGAGAGGTTCAAATGTATATGCTACCCTTGAAAATGCTATTCACATAAAAATGCTTGGGGACATAAAAAGCAATTTACCTTGAGCTGCAGTCCAAGGGCCATGACATGGAGTATTCGTAAGGACAAGTCACCACAAATTTTAAAAAATGATGCTATCTTACTCTGAAAACTCGGTACCTTATCATCTGGCCAAACCTTGAGAAAAATAAAGTATCCTAAGAAAATTATATCGGGTGGTTTTTAGGGATTAAAAAGAGCCCCTGTGATAAAAAAAAGACAAAAATGCTACAGATCAAAAACATTATTGATAACAGCTAAATAAGGACTTTTCCCATGCAGGAGAAAAGATATAAGCCAGTGCCATTTTCGTTGCATGAAAAAATGATTAAGGGATTAATTTCAGTAGAGAAACATTCTTTTGCAAAGCTCCCTGGAGAACCATGAAGTAAAAAAAAGGTTTTTCAAGACCTAGACCCATCACTATATAAGGTCTAAATGAGTGCTGTCCCTGTACCCCAACCCGCCACACCCGCCACCTGGGTTGGTCCTTCACTGACCTCCTCTGTCAAAAATTGATGCAGCATATATAAGAGTGTTAAAGATAACAGGGCCACAACCTACTCATTATATACATACAAAAATACATCCTTTATTATCTTTCCTTAAACAAAAATGATAATTATATGCATTAAAAAGAAACAGTTGAGTGGCAGGGCATGAAAATTAATGCTTACCAATGATTTAAATTCTTACAAAAAGATAGAACTCTAAACTAAGCAAGTCATTCAAATGTTGAAAAAATCAACTCACTTGCTGTTCATTATGTGGTTCTGTAATGTTGAAGGCTTCCTTGTAATCTGCTGGCCTATCAGCACTTACTCTGCCAAAAATCAATCAATCAATCACTCAATCAAACAGTCTTTTTCTGTTTGACCTTGGCATAATTTTATTCTATGTGGAATATAATATTTATGTTCTTTAATTATAGATTTTGAAGCCATTGAAGAGAAAAAAACAGCCATTATAATAATAATTACTTATGAGATTGGAAAGTACATAAATACACCTTTCTGGTGGTTTTTGCAGCTTTATTTCTTTGAGGTTTTACAAGTTATAATCAAATCACATCACTTTGGCATCACACATAACTGAACAGTAAAAAAGGAGTAAATCTTAGATTTTTTACTTTGGAGAGAGATTATAATAAAAGAAATCATTGGAGGGGTATAGAATGGTAAATTCGAGACTTTGCGAGACCACAAAACTCTGGTTTAAAAATTCAAGACCAAGAGTTAGGGCTTTTTATCAAATCCGAGGCCGAGACTTAATTCTTAAAAAATCCCAGCCCAAGACTCTAAGTGCTGAAGATTTCGAGGTAATGGTACCAATGAAGTTCTTAGCCATTGCCTGTATCAAGCTCATGGTTAAGAATAAGTGGTGTGGCAATGAATAAGGCTCCCATTCATTATGTGCCATAATTTTGTTAGTTATTTACTGCTGTTAACGGTATATATATCGGTGTCTGTGTTTCATGGTGTTTAAACTAAATTTGCCAGCTAAATTTGAGACCCCAAGATGAGTCAATTTTTAGCCAGCCTGAGATTCCGAGATGCTTATTTTAAATGTCGAGATTTCGAGATTGGGCCAAAATTTTCCAAAACCCATGTTTTTCAGGGTACCATTCTATACCCCTCATTGAAGAACTCCCACAAAAATGTCAAATTGTCACACAGTAACAATAATATTAATACTTTTCTCTTTCAAAGGCAACCCATCCATGGTCACTTCCACTGGCAGGACGAGCATATGCCTGCTTGGCTTCATCATCCAGTTGAAAAAAGTCATCACTTAACTTGAAAATACCATCAATCTTCAAAATATAATGAGAGAGTCTTTCCAATTTTTATTTCATGATCCTATGTAACCCCTGTCAAGTCCTTACTGCATGCAATTCCTTATATAGTATTGTTAGTATGGGGATCTCCTTCTTAGAGATCTCCATGCTGAATGGCAGGGACCAAATCTAAGTGTTCATTTTAGGGCTAGGTGTTCACCATATCTTTTAAGAAAAAGTTGACTGTACTTAAGAGTTCTTATAAGCGAAGGTTTTCAGTGAGTTTGCAAAGAGTGTCACCTACATTTAACCCCTCAGAGATAAATACCCCAGGCCCTAGCCCTGTCCAGCCCTTCAGAAAATCTTAAGAATGGGTGGAGGGGGTAGACAGTTAACAATCCCCCTACAGTGAAACCTGTATTAAGCGGACACCATATTAAGCAGACACCCTCTATTGAGCGGACAGTAGGCAAAGTCCCCAAATTCATGTCCCTTATTTTCTTTAAATGAAATCTTTGTTTAGCGAACACCTCTATTAAGCATACGCCGGCACCTAAAAAGTACCTGAAATGGTCATTTCTATTGTTTCCAATCCCCGGGGGGGGGGGGGGGGGACTCCGCATATCAAAGGGGTGGGGATGCTTGTCGGAAATTTTGAATTAAACCCCTAAAAGAGACCGATCTGGGCAAAGCCCCAGCTTTTTTTGACCCCTAAAAGAGTCAGTCAATACGCATATTTTCATACTTTTTCACGTGCAACACCCTAAACGAGACCTTCACAGCTAAATATGGTGGCGTTTTGCCCAGAACACCCTAAGTGAGACCAAAATCTGAAATTTACACCCCTAATCAAGACGACGAGCATCCCCTCCCTTTCATATGCAGAGTCCCACCCGCCCCTGGGTTGCTAACCTGTATAATTAAGGGGACACTTTTAATTAAATTCCACCACCCAACATGCATGCCAGACAACGGAAATGTGAAAGATTGCTTCGAATTGCCACCCACATTTTCGATTTTTACATTAAAAAACGTGACTTACTTAATTTATTAGTTTCACAGTACAGTATTGTTTTCTATTTCGTTTTGTTTGTATAGAGCTTGTTTCACTCATCTGATTTCTTCAAATTTGAGTTGCAATCTATGTTTATGGTACTATGATCAACTGGTCCACTTTGATAAAGAAATTAATGCAAACGTATATCGTCATAGTCTCTGGGAGTATTCTAAATGTTTCCACTGTTCATTTGAATGGCATTTTATTGACACCTCATATGACGTTATCTATCGAAACCTGTATTAGGCAGACACCCTGTATGAAGCGGACACTACTGCATTCCCCAAGGGTGTCTGCTTAATACAGGTTTTACTTGTTGAGTTTCAAAATAATGTTGTCACCTTGCAAAGGGGATCAGAACACAACAGGCAGTGGTACCCAATCTTGTCCCTAGATTTCTGACACCCTGTAAAATCAAGATGGTAACCTGTTGCAGTCTTGTCACTGGTGGTGAACCCCGGGGGGGGTACTCCCACGAATTTTGGATAGGGGTGTGCCGCGAAGGTTCGTGAACCCTAACCCTATTTAAGGACTAAGAAAGCGAAAACTGATACCCTTTTTAAGGCCCAATGCCGAAAAATGACACAGGACCACACCAGGGACACAGAAACAAAATGGTCAAAAAAGATACCCTATTTAAGGACCGAGAACCTCAAAAACCATACCCTATTTCGCGGCACGTACCTATATAGCCCATATATGGGAGTACCCCCCCCCCCCCGGGGGGGGAACACCCAGCCGGGGAGGGACCGATGAATGAAATAGGTCAGGTACTTGTAGCTAGGGGATCGAGCTAAAATGATTTTTCTGTAAATTCTCTCACCTTTTCTTGTGGGATGCCATGATTTTTCAGGTAAACAAACCCCATTGTGCTGAACGCCCGGTGTATTTCATGAGCCATCTGTTGTATGCTTTCTGGAGAGTAGTCTTCTGTTACTTTCTCCACGCTCATTTGGCTGAAGTCCACTACTGGTATAGACGATTCCATGGCCACGCATACAAGTTAGTGTAAACTACACAGTATTACAGCCTTTACATACTACAAGCCAAACAATCTGTAGCGATGGAAAATTGGAATTATAGCAGGATCTGTTATCAAAGGAAAGGTTTACTTCGGTTGGTGGTGCACGGAACGGAGCAATAAAAAGGACAGAGGTCGATCTCCAGCTTTCTTGGCCTATTGCATTAGAGTTGTCTGTAAAATCCTCTGTGAGTGCCTGAGCCAGCGTGTTTTTTCTTTTTAAATTTTAAGAATAAACCCCAGACCCCTTTTTAGGTAAGCGAGAAAAGCCTGGTGATTTTTTGGTGCGCGCCAGGCCTGGGTGCGCGCAAGATTGTCATCATTAAAATTCAGTAGTATTTCATCCATCTAGAGAGATTTTCAAACTACTAGAAAAAGTAAAGAGTAACCTGGCCTCTACTGTTGGGTGGTGATCCTGGAGGGTAGGTAAGTTTTAATATTTCTGGGTTTCTCTGGTGTTTCGGAAACCATTTTTGGTTCGCTTTTGTTTTCTGGTGGGGCGTCAGGAAAAGCACGAAACCGGAATTCAGAATAGGAACGGGAATGGGAACAGGAACTGGAAACGGAACAGGAACAGTAATGTAAAGGAGAACCGATACCAGAACAGGGACATCATTTACCATAATTTATTGCTGTGGAGTGACCGTAGGGAGCGAGCAGCAACATAATCAGGACTTAAGGGAAATATATAAGGTGGGACGAATTCTCGAATTCATCACTTTTTACCAGAATGCATTGCATTTAACCAGAGTACACTGCGCTCCCTTTTACCAAAATGCATTGCACCACGAACAACTCAAATAAAAGCACGAGGAAGTTCGGTGGGTGAGAGCGTGCATCGTTCGCTGTTTTCTTTGTGTCAAATTTTCTACAGCACGGTTAGAAGTCTTACCAAATTTAAGACACGCAGGAGTCTTTCAGATGGATACGATGGTCAACTTGACGATTGGATTTCAATTCATTGAGCCTTTGACTCGTCCAGGCGTTAAACTTGACGAGAAGACGAGCAGCATAACTATCTTTAAGATACCCTAGTTTTAATTCTAATTCAATTTATATGAAAAATAAGAGAACTAGCCTGGCATCATGCTCCCCTGAATTTCTCTATCGTTATGGCAACCAGAAGGTCAAAAAAGCAGCAACGCCAATTAACTTTAATAAGTAAAGCAACAGCTTTGCAAGTGCATCGCGCTTTCTGTCTATATGTTCACCGTTTATGCACAACTACAGCGTGAAATGATCAAATCTTATAAAGTTCTCTTGAGAACGTGAACGGCAAGGCGATAGATTTTATTGTGTCTTCGGACGCGGTCTCCAGCTTCATTTCCCAACCTTTAAAAGACTAGACAATTTGGATGAGCAATAGTTTGAATTAGGAACCGAATTCAATTTCTCAGTGGCGTTTTCGTTGGCGTTGCCGTTGGTTCCTTTTATCGCTCGCAGGAAGGAGGTTATTACATATTAATATTATTTGTCAGACCATTTGTAAACGTCGAGACACCCATCAGAGACGTTCATTGGGCTGTCATACACTTTAGGTTTGCTACATAGATATATTGTACTACCACTGGGCTTTATTCAACCGATTGCAATAGGGACCTTAAGCAACGAGAACGTTGACGTCTAGGACGTAAAAAATGGAAACCGGAAGTTGATATTTTCTGTCTTTCAGTGCTATGACTCATCAAATTCTACAGTGGAAGGTAAAAGGATTCGTTGTGTGAGACAGAAGCGTTCCATCAGGAGAAACATTGAACTTCCGGTTGCTATTCATGAAGTCCTCGACGGGTCAGCGTTCTGGTTGCTTAAGGTCGTTTTTATGTTTGACACGAAAACGCAATTTAAGGGAAAAGCCCTGGGGACGAGGTTGGTGTCACAGGGTAACGATAACTTTGGGAAGGTTATATTGATTAGATTCACATTTCAAGAGTGTTTCCTTTTTTCTTTTTTCTCTGGATTTTTCTCTGGCTTTTTAGTGATTATATCCTTTTCTTCTCGTATTTCTATACACTGTTTCGATTCCCTTTTTTCCCTTATTTTTCGTATATATCTGAATAAGAATTAAATCCAAATTAACATAAATTATGATAAATGTTGTCTCTGTTTTTATATAGGTTCCTCTTTCCACTACCGTTCCTATTCCGGTTCCGGTTCCTGTTTCTGTTCCCGTTCCTTTTCCGGATTCCGGTTTCCTGCTTTTCCAGACGCCCTTGTTGGAGTCCCTTTCAGGGACACCAATATTACCGCAGGATACCAACAGAAACATCTGTTTTCGAGTTTTCTTTTTAATTTCTGAATTCTTCGCTTGAGGAACTCATAAAGATTAAAGTAATATTTATGCATCCGTCAATTCCATCTGCGCCTAGCGCCCCCCCCCTCCCCCCCCCCTCCCGGGCTGACCCCCGGGCATTGGCATTCTTTTTTTTGCCTTGGATGGCAAATTCCGGAGGGTGGGGACTCTTGAGCTGTCAAATCGCCCGGTGTGGGGACGAAAAAAGACGGCAAATGCCCATTCCTCCGTCGACACTGCAACATTTTTCACTGATCGCACAGTCGAATAGTGCCGTTTTAAGCATTTTAATGCTCGATTTTTTTGTTTCAATTAACGTCTTCCTTTTTAATAGCGCTAGGATTCAAACGACGCGCTAGTATTCTAACCATTCTCACGACGACATAGATCGACATGCACCAGTTTATGGTTTTAGTATGTATTATAAAACTATTGACATTAAGCGACATTACAGAGCGCTGTAAAGTTATGAAAGGGTGTTCTTCAAATAATATCAACAGAAATTTGATTCAGCAACCAAAAAACGTTGATTCACATCGATAGCTCCAATTTCGCTATGTAATGATAAGCAATAAAGAAATGCATGCATAAAATCGAGAACATGCCTGTACAACCCTCTTCAATTTATTCCTGTCCTTGACAGTTGAGCCAATCTGCTTTTTTTCGAGTAAAACCCTCTGTGTAGTTATATTCTGATAGGAAACCGCGTGCGTGTCAGAAGCTCGGGAATGGCTGCGGGGTTGGCAAATGCCCGGCCCCCGGGACTGTCAAGGCGGGCAAATGCCCCGCAGTAGCCCGGGGGGAGCTTGGCGCAGGTGGAATTGACTGATGCATTATTCTGAGACAAGGAATGTTTAGATAGCAAAATCTCCCAAAATCAGTAATGTTTTTAACCCACAGAAGAGCTCTCTGGCCGTCAGCTAAATGCCGCGTCACGCAAAAGCCTGGCTGACTTCAAGCGTCCTCTCTCGCAAAACGAAGAACCCTTTGGAACCAAAAATTTGTTTATATAAAAACTCAGAAGAATCGATAGTTTCTTAGTTTGATTTTTGTTGACGTCACGTGCAAACCAAGAATAACAGACTCACATATTTTCCCCGATGAAGGCAGCATTGCCGTAACGTCGGAGTTTTATTTGCAATTATCAGCGTTTAACTTACCACCTTCCCACTTTTAACACAGGAAATTTTCTCTCGCGCCTCCTGCCTTGTCCCTGGAGACTTCATAACGTTTTTTTAAAACAACTTTTAATTTTTTTTATCTAAACAAGGTGAACTCTGAGCTGTGAAGTGTTTTAAAAAGAAAATACCATTACGGCAGTTTATTCTTTTAAAGGGTAAAGAAAAAGAAAAATTCTGGCGAAAGGTAGCGAGCATGAATTAGAAATCAAGCTCCGATGTAATTTTAAGCACTTTTCTCTCAGTTTCAGGCTTTTTTTTTTCTTTCAGTTGTGTTATTAGGCCAGTAGCTAAAACTAAGCTAGAAAGGGCAAAGGGTCTATTTTACTGACGGCCCTTTGATAATCTCTGCTGTGCAAAAACCTTGCATAAACTCTCTCGTTAGATTAAAATGCCGAAATTACAGCCGCTTCTTATCCACGAACTGACAACTTCAAAGTCCTGAAAGTCTTGCGGGATTTTCGTGCATGGTTCGCTTTAATGAGAGATATAAACATCATAAGAAAATAAATTTTAATACTGAAAATTGCAACCAATCAAGGCGTCTTTTGTTAATTATTTCAAGCTATTTATCTAATAAGGCTAAATGGTATTTCTGACAGTGTAGTATCACAGAACAGGGAAACTGAATAGCTATTTTGCCGGCACGGACCAGAGGACTGGGTCGGCTAATTGCGAGTTGCTTTCTGAGATATACGTATGTATGGCCGTTCGTTGCAAATTAGTCTAGGTGTGTGTGTTTTTCCTTCTGGGTGGAGTGGGCAAAATTGACTTTATCTATTTTACACTAAAAATTTGGTTTTTAAAAGTATCAATGAAATCAAACTAGTTGGAATACATCTATCTTATTCTTATTAGTATTCATAAGTTGCATTTAGTCTCTGCCACAGGTAATCATAGGCCGTTATTGAGGGGTACTTCTCAGACCCATCTAGACACTTTATTATGGTGTCATCGTCGGGATGTACAAAAAAGGCCAGGGAGCGTCGCAGAACTCGTCTCTGACACTCCTCTTCTGGGATAGAAACACGGTGACGCTGAAAAAGAGACGGAAAATATAGCGAATGTTATTAGTGATGTCATTATCTGCGGATCTAAAAGGTAAAACTTTTTCGCATGCGATGTACGTAGCGTGTAAACAGTGTATACAAGGCTACGACAGTGACCAGTTAGGCCCTCTCCAAACGTATCCAGATATTTTCGAAAAGGGGGATTATTTTCTTTTTTCTCAAAAAAATACGAGTCCGCATGTAGCGTACTTAAATCGTTTTCACCCGTCCACATGAAAACGCTAAAACGATAGAAATACGATGGAGCTCCTGTAGTAATATAGTGTATGACATTAGCGTATTCGAAAACCTCCGTTTTCGTTCGTCCAAAGGTAAACGAGAGTGTGGCGTTGTGGGGCTGAAGAAAATAAAAGTATAGGCTAATGACCAATTTGTTTGCAGCTGTGTTTTAATTGTTTTTTCTCCAGGATTGGGAACCCATTTTAAGAACCTAAATAGCCTAAAATTCTGTTAACTACCATTTATATGAAAACCTGTTTAGGCTAACTCCTAAAAATGTAGGTTCTTAGTTGCGGGTTTTTACTGTATCTAAAATCTAGTTCCTCAACAAAACTCGCAATCTCTTTGCATAAGGCCGTGGTTGTAGTTTTTGCAAGCTTAAGCCAGGCCAAACGTCGAACTTTTCACGAGACGAACCAAACTTGGTGAGTTAAGTTCGTCAAAGGTTAGACATCTGGCTCAGTAAGTTAGTCTGAGTGAGTTTGGGTCGTCCAACAGTGAACACGTTCTATCCGTATGCTTCAGACGGACAGAACGTCTGAGGATCGTCTCCGGGACAAACGTCCGACTTCAACACATGCGAGGAACTAAACTAATAAATTAAAAATGTGTATGATACTGGGTATAGTTAGCTTCGTTCGGGGGAAAGTTAATTAAAATTGCCTTTTGGTCTGATTCAGTTGATTGGTTCGACGCGTCCTAAGTTCGACGTCTGACCCAAAAGACGATCTTAACTTAATTTAGGTCTACCCAAATTAGAGTTTCGCCCGGTTCGTCTCATGAAAAGTTCGACCTTTGGCGTAGGCCTTTATTTAGACGTCCGGCGGAGCTCACACTCAGAAAGGGACGCACAGTAATTTTCAAGAAGTTATAATAACTCCTCTAGTGGGGCTAATTTACCTCCTTACAGTGGAGTTATTTTTTGGGGAGTTACTTTAACTCCAAAAAGGAGTTTAAAGAACTCTTTTTCAGGAGTAAAAGTGACCCCAAATATTGAGGAGTAAAAATGACCCCACATTCGGAGTTAAATTAGGGGTTAAAGTAACCCCAAAAAAGGGGTTATCCTGTACCTACAATTTTTACTCCATTTTTGGAGTTATGATAACTCCCTAAAAATTACGGTGCGGCATTGCTCGTCTTCTCCTTAAGGGGCGAAAATTAAAGTTTTTTTGTGACAGAAAAACATTCTTTTTTACCCCTACCGGTATCTCTATCGTGGTACTGAAATGATTAAAGAAATTATCACAAGAGACTATTACTTCACCAAAGCGACAAGAGAATTAGAATTCAACCAAGTGAACTTTATGGAAGATCCCACGACGGCGACGGCTACGAAAACGTCACTTAAAAAGTGAATTCTGGCTGCTTTAAACTTTATGACGCTTTAATATTCCATCTCGTTTAATTCGTCAAATTTGGAGTTGAATTCTAAAGGACTGTATCAAAATTCAGGAAAAGAAAGGAAAGTTGTTGTCTTCTGTTCCCGTCCTCGACAAAACGTGAAATTAGGCACTGAAAAGTACAAAAAAAGCGTGATGCACGTCCAAAGTTGTTGTTTTGCTAATCTAAACCTATCGCTTTTTTTCCGTTCTCGTTCCCATCGATTTTTGGGTGACGGGAATGCGGGTGATGTGAAACACTCTCCTTACGACTAGAAAAATCTTAGCTACGCCCCCTGGTGAATGTATGGACTGTCAACCATAACTAAAAAGTGGCCGTTGCAGGGAGGTAGCTGTAGTAGAAATTCGATTGTACTCTGGATCAGTTTTAAAGAGCATGTAACTAGTTTACCGTTGATTTAAGCCTATCAGCTGTCCATCTCTGCATGAGGTCTGCAACATTGACGATTATTGCTCCAGGAAAGGGCGGGGCGGGTATGTATTCAGTAATTCCAAGAGGTAAGACCTGTCAAGTGAAACACAACTGGTTAAGGAGTGCAAATTATACTTCTAGTAACTACACCATCAGCTATCTATATGAACTAAAAACCAAGTATCCAAAAGGCTCTTCCTTTCTTTCCATTCTAGATAAACCAGCGATACTGAATGAGAATCGCCCTTTAGTTCCGGGCAATGTAAAGAAGGCAGCACGTATAATGTTTTGATGCTACGTAATCTTCCAATGTTCGGTTGCCCACTTTTTGTACACATACCCTCCACCAGATTTCGACCACAAAAGTGCACTACAGGTTTAACCTACAGTTTCATTCTCCACGACTGACTTAAGGGAGGAAAAGGTTACTACCATACCTCTAGTCCAGGCATATCGTCCTGGAAAAGCAGTGTGATGGAGCCATAGTCGGTGTGCTCTCCACAGCGAATCTGTCCTGGTTTAACGACAGCATCTTTAGAAATGCCAGGATAGTTCAACAAACGTAATGTGGTGCAATTCTTTGTTGTCTCCATAGCTTTGTGAGTGCTTGTGAATGTTTCTGGATCCTGCATTAAAAAGAAGTTATATGTAGTATGCAAAGGTCACCTGATCTTGATTAGTAGTTAAATGACAACTGAAAAAGTGCAGTTAAATAACGATTTAGAGGTAGCACATCCTTGTAGTGGTTCTTCGTTTACCATTCCTGGTCGAATTGGAATATGGAATTTAAAGATAATTATGTTGAGTTTTGAGGAGAAGGGGAAACCGGAGTACTTAGAGAAAAAACTTCTAGGAGCGAAGGAGAGAACCAACCGCAAACTCAACCCACATATGGCGTCAACACCAGGATTTGAACCAGGGCCACATTGGTGGGAGGCGAGTGCTCTTGCCAATGCACCACCCTTGCTCCTCGAGTAGTTTATGTACATAAAGTTGAACCTCCACTAACAGCTTAAACAATGGCCACCTCTCTACAATGGCTACCCTTTTTTTGGCGGACAGTCCATACATTGTGTCTGGTTCAAACCTCTTTAGAAGGGCCACTTTCTTTTTTCTCCAAGGTGGCTGTTGTGAAGAGGTTCAACTGAATATGCTACTCTTGAAAATGCTATTCACATAAAAATGTTTGGGGACATAAGAAACGATTTACCTTGAGCTGCAGTCCAAGGGCCATGACATGGAGTATTCGTAAGGACAAGTCACCACAAAGTTTAAAGAATGATGCTATCTCACTCTGAAAATTCGGTACCCTATCATCTGGCCAAACCTTGACAACAGCAAAATATCATAACAAAAATTACATCAGGTGGCTTTTAGGCATTAAAAAGAACCCCTATGATCAAAAAAGGACAAAAGTGCTGCAGATCAAGAAAATGATTGATAACAGCTAAATGTGGACTTTTCCCATGCAGGAGGAAAGACATAAACCAGTCCATTTTCTTTAAATAAAATAATGATTAAAAGATTAATTGCAGTAGAGAAACATCCATTTACAAAGCTCCCTTGAGGACCAAGTAAAAAAGGTTTTTCAAGACCTAGACCCATCACTAAGGTCTAAATGAGTGTCCCCGTACCCCCAACCCGCCACACCCGCCACTCAGGTTGATTCCTCTACTGACCTCCGATCCTCTGTCAAAAATTGATGCAGCATATAAGAGTGTTAAAGGTCACAGGGCCACAACCTACTCATAATATGATATATGCATTAAAAAGAAACAGTTGAGTGGCAGGATATGCTTACCAATGATTTAAATTCTTACAAAAAAATAGAACTCTAAACTAAGCAAGTTATTCAAATGTTGGAAAATTCAACTCACGCGCTGTTCATTGCATGGTTCTGTAATGTTAAAGGCTTCCTTGTGATCTGCTGGCCTATCTGCACTTACTCTACCAAAAATCAACCAATCAATCACTCAATCGAACAGTCTTTTCTGCATGGTATATATAAATATTACATATCATAATCTAATTAATAATTAAAGAACATAAAATTTATGTTCTTTAATAAAAATTTATGTTCTCTAATTATTAAAGAACATAAATTTTATGTTCTTTATTAACTAGATTTTGAGGCCATTCAAAGAAAAAAAAATACAGCCATTAAAATAATAATATTATTAATGAGATTGGAAAGTACATAAATACACCTTTCTGGTGGTTTTTGTGCCTTTCTCCAAGCTTTTACAAGTTATTTCAAATCACATCCACTTTGGCATCACACATAAATCTACTGAGCAAAAAAATTACCCTGTGAGCAGAGGTTTCTTTCCCGTAGGCACATGGCTCTTAGCATTTACAAAGTCATTAACATATCTAATGTCACACCTTTACAAATGCTAAAGCCATATGGGAAAAGTAACCTCTGTTTGCGGGGTACAATGAGAAATCCATTTAACAAGATCACTCTTGATTATTATGAGTTAAAATATTCTGAACAGAAAAAAGAAGTAAATATTACATTTTTTTGGAGAGAAATTATACTAACACATAATTATCATTTGAAAACTCCCACAAAAATGTCAAATTGTCACACAGTAATAATAAGATTAATACTTTTCTCTTTCAAAGGCAACCCATCCGTGTCCACTTCCACTGGCAGGACGAGCATATGCCTGCTTGGCTTCACCATCCAGTTGAAAAAAGTCATCACTCAACTTGAAAATACCATCAATCTTCAAAATATAATGAGAGAGTCTTTCTAATTTTTCATGATCCTATGTATCCCCTGTCAAGTCCTTCCCACATGCACTTCCTTAAACAGTATTGTCAGTATGAGGATCCCCTTAAGCTTGATAAGTCTCCATGTGGCAGGGCCCATATCTCAGTGTTTGTTTTAGGGAGGTGTTCACCATATCCTTTTAAAAAAGTTGATTGTACTTTAAAGGGCTCTTAAGCAAAGGCTTTTGGTGAGTTTGCAAAGCGTGCCAGTGTGTCAGCTCCAATAAACTCCTCAGAGATAAAGACCTCGCCCCCCTCTGTCCAGCCCCTCAAAAATCTCGTCCATGGGTGGAGAGGGTGAGTTTCAAATGTTATCACCTTAGCTTGTGATGGGGATCAGAACAGACAGTGGTACCCAATCTTGTCCAGGGTAGATTTCTGACACCCTGTAAAAGCAAGATGGTAACCTCTTGCAGTCTTGTAGCCTGTGAACGGCAGACATTTCTCCTTGCCGCTGAGGGACGTTTCGTGAGGAGGAACATCTGCAGCTCAGTGACAGAAATTCCATACTGATGACACAAAATCTGCCCAGAATCCAGTCATAAGCGCTAATTGGTCGATGGAGTAGTCTTATTGTTTTAGCTATTGTTTACGAATGACAGATAAAAGACAAACGGCGGCAGAGGTCAAATGTAAACACGATGAATCTCAAACAAAACAGTCAATATTTGTGGAATATAGTCATTGCTAGAACAAGCATTTGAGTTTTGCTAGATCTCGTTTGCAGATGAACACAACACTTTTCCAAAATCGAACAGGAGAAACGTAAAATCGAACAAATTTACATTTGGAACCCCATGACTACCGGATTTATTATGTAAACGCTGATTTACGTCATCAGCATTGAATTTCCGTCACTGAGTCGCAGACGTTCCTCCTCGTGAAATGTGCCTCAGCGACGATGAGCGAGGAGAAACGTCTGCTTTTCGCAGGCTAGCAGTCTTGTCACTGACTCACTGGTGGTGAACATCATGGCCGGGGAGAGGATGAATGAAATAGTCAGGTACTTATAGCTAGGGGAACTACAATGATTTTCCAGTAAATTCTCTAACCTTTTCTTGTGGGATGCCATGATTCTTCAGGTAAACAAACCCCACTGTGCTGAACGCCCGGTGTATTTCATCTGCCAACTGTTGTATGCTTTCTGAAGAGTAATATTCTGTTACTTTCTCCACGCTCATTTGGCTGAAGTCCACTACTGGTATAGACGACTCCATGGCCACGCATACATGTAAACTACACAGTATTACAACTTTTACATACTACACCTACTACAAGCCAAACGATCTGTAGCGATGGGAAATTGGAATCATAGCACGATCTGTTATCAAAGGAAAGGTTTACTTCGAATGGTGGTGCACGGAACGGAGCAGTAATCGGGGGCGGAACGATTGCAATGTAACTGGAGTACTGTCCCGTCACGTGTTAAAAGAAACCATTTTTGGTAGAAATTTGAAAAAAGGACAGGTACAGAGAGGTCGATCTCAAATCTCCAGCTTTCTTGGCCTATTGCATTAGAGTTAAACTATTGTCAATAAAATCCTGTTTTCTTGTCTTTGTGAGTGCCTGAGCCAGTGTTGTTTTTGACGGATTTCAAGAGAAAAGGCGGACTGCAAGAAGTCTGGTGTTGTGAATAAGCCCCAGACCCCTTTCAACCTTTCAGCGAGCAAACGAGCGACCCACCGACAGATTGCCACCATGAGAGATTTTCAAACTGCAGGAAAAAGTAAAGAGTAACCTGGCCTCTATTTGGGATGGTGATCCTAGAGGGTACATGTAGGTATGTTTTAACCAGGGTTTTAACATATTCTTTCTGAGTTTTTTTTGGTCATGTTTGGTGATGCGAAACCATTACGTCTTGGTGATTGCACCCATCTGTAACACCAAGAAACTGGCAGGTACAACACACAGGTCACAGTCACTGCTCTGTTGATTTATAACTGAGACCCGGGGTATCCAATCGATGGAATCGATAATCGATGACAATCAATATCAATCGATATCAATCGATATCAATTATTCGATTGATATTGATAATCGAATACCAATCGATGGCGAAGATTCGTGTGGTTATCGATTGGTATCGATTATCAATACCAATCGATAGATAAATTGGTATCGATTGGTTGTAGATTGGCAGAAACGGAATTGACACTTTGTACGCAGTAATTGTAAACACCATTCATTTTCATGTCAACAGGAGAACGATCTCTCTTCTTTCTCTTTAATGTTAACGGCCCGTCCACGGGAATCCGGTTTTATTTTTGACAAATTAAAAGTTCAAACTAAAAATTCACTAACACTAAAATATCTGCATGTAGTGGCCAAAGAGAATCCACGAGCTCGGACTGTAGATGGCCGAGTTTCCACGATGGTTCACAACTTTAAACGCGTTTCCGCGTTCTCCCCTCTTCTTGGTTGCAGTGAACACTTCACCGCCGTTCACCTCAGAATGGCAAAGATGAGAGCCTTTGACGATGCCCCTTCTATTCAGTAAAGCCTCTGCCCGGACGTCTTTTATGACACGGAAAAGCAATGACGGGCAAGTGGGTGCAACAGGGTTTTATTTTTTGCGCTGAGAAGTCTGGGTTGGAATTGTTTTACCAATTTCGTCCCCAGGGCTTCCTAAAAATGGCGGATGATCGGACAGGTAGCGTGCCACTGCAGACAGAGCTCCAGGACACGGTTAGCTACGGTTACGATGAACGATTTTTGTGTGGTTATCGATTGATCATCGATTGACCAATACCAATCGATACCAATTAACTAATTTTATCGATTGATATCGATGATCGATTGGTTTTCCGATCATCGATTTCCATCGATTGGATACCCCGGGCTGAGATAAACTGTTTTCCCCTAAGCTAAAACTCCATTTTAGATTGTATTTGATCAGGGCCTGTGATTTAACTTGCAGTTGTGACCTGCATCTTACCAACTGTCAAGCAACTACTCTTTCCTTGTTTTTCTTCATTTTACAGTCAAACCAGGAAAGTCATGAACACTTGAAATATTTCAGGAATGTTTATTGTGTTATGACCAATTACAGCAAAGATCAGCCCCAACTGTTCAATCTCTATCCAGTGGATAATTATTGCAATTATTGGTTTCCCAAATACTTGTCCACTGGATAGTGATTTATCCAGTTGATAGCAATATCCGACATTTGAACAACCAGGGCCAGGGTACGCTTACTTGCCACAAAACAAACTAATAAATTACCATTCTTGCTGGCAGTTTAGTTTGTTATGCCCAGGTGGCTTTTTTCTTCCAACACAATATAAACATTACAGAAATATTTCCGGTGTTCACAGTTTTCTCGGTTTGACTGTAAACCAGGGTCAGGTCCTAGGGGTGGTGAATGGTAAAATCTGAGACTCGCTGAGACAGCGAGATCCTAGTTAGAAATCTGAGCCCGAGACTCTTTGGAAAAAAGTTTCGAGACTCAAAGAAAGTAAAAACAAACCATGCAAAAACGAGACTTCAAGACTGATCAAAATGCTTTTGAGATCCTACCAAAATAATATTTTTCAAGACCCACGTTTTTCGAGGTACCTTTCGCCACCCCTAGGTCTTCAACCCCTGAGTGGCAATCTCATGCCTAAACATGGGTTAAATTCCCCCACCTCCCCATCTGGAAATTTTTATAATCCCAGATATCAAAAGAATGACAGACCCAAAACTCACAACCAGAACTGACTGTTGGATCAACTAGATTCGCTTATGAACCTGGACAGGAAACAAGACCAGAGAAAATGGAGATTATAATTGTTTTTTCATTTTATTGACTATGAAAGTCTGTTAAAAAGCATACACCAGCTATCATGAAGGAAATATAAGTTGCAGCCTTTGTCACTGAAAATGTTAATATATTTTTGAAGCATTATAGAATTAATGACAACTACAAATTGTGCACCAGTAATAGTATCATAAATAAAAAAAATACATCATTCAAAATGGCTTGTTTCTATTGGTTTTTGTTTGCTACATAATTTAGCAAGAAAGCAACACTCAAAAAGCTAAGTTAATAGTTTGTGATGAAGAATAGAAATTGAAGTAGACGTAGGACATAATTTTGTGATAAATTGTTCTTAATTTTCTTTTAACTTTAAACTAAATTGAATTACTTTAAAATGCATCTACTAACTTAACTTTGTACAAACTGGCATCAATAAAAACAACGCAATAGTTATAACAGAGTAAGCTTATTTTGTTAATGGTTTGGTATAAAGAAAAAAAATGGCTTTGAAACCAATGTTTTAGACACAGGGAAATTCCCTTTTTAAGCCTTGAAAAGAAACAAATTTTTCAAAGATAAAAAACTTTGCTGCCTTCAACTAAATGTTCCCCAACTCACATGTAAGTTCAGTAGTTTTTGCAAATTCCAAACCTATTAGTTAAGCCAGAGTCCTTCCCCCAAGAAGTGAGAATAGCATATTTTCTCAAATAAGCACCACATTTGGAACAAACAAGTTAATAAGTGCCCCCCTGATTTAATCAAACTCAATTCTGGTACTTTGGTGTGGAAAAAAGTAATACTGTAGTTAAAATAATTCTTTCGTCACATCCAACTTTCAGACAAAAGCCACCCTCAAATCAGTGCTGCATTTGAGACATGAAAAATTTAATTAGTGCTGCGGCGCTGATTCAAGTAAATACAATTAAGTAATAGTGAACTTTTTCAGCAACAGAACGCAAGGTGTGGCTTCCTGTAACTTCCGATGAAATCATAGTACTCCAGAAAAAAACAATTAGGCTTGTTTGTGTTATGGCACCTTGGTGGGTATTGACGTTTGTTGATGCCAAGTCTAGGAAATGTCAATTGCAGATGAAAGTAATATTTACAATATTATTTTCAGTTAACTTACATAATCCAAGAAAATACACCCCTTTAGATGCTCTACAATGTACTGTACACGGCTGTATTTCATTTAGTGAGAAAAAAATATAGTGAATGTAAAACTAAGATAATTTGGTATCTAGAAGCTTTTTGGCATATTTCCAATTATGGTGGTCTGTTTGGTTGCAGGTAGTGTAGACAGGTCCAAATCATGGAAATACGGATGATCCAATGCAGCTTTTGCTGATATTCTCTTTGCTGGATTATACAAAAGCATTTTCTGTTGGAAATAGAATACATCATGTCTCAGTTGATTAATATTGTTCTATTTGGAATTATTAAATAACTTTCATATTATTTATATCAGGCTGTTTAATCACACAAGCTAGAGACAAGATAATTTAAGATAAATACAACAAATGGCAAAGCTAAGGTGACCACAGTTTGAAGTTCATGTTTGGGAAATTGTAATATAAAGTTTCAAACAACTATCATCTACCTCTAACAAATCAAGTCCATTTTCATCAAGCTGAGGAACCGCTTTCTTAAGTCCTTCTCCACTCCATTTTGGAAAGCTTGTTTTATAATCTTGAAGCTGTGACACTCCTGGCCAATTCTTCTCTGTTGGTGTTCCTAGAATTCTTTGAAGACAAATTCAATAGTTTTATGAAGTATCCATGGTATGAAAGGATTAGTAATTAGTAAACTAAATGCAAAGAAGGTCACAACTTATAATAAGCAGTTATTAAGAAACCCTTTATTTCAGGGGCCAGGATATGAATCCCAGCAAGTCTGAATTTTTTGGGCTTTCTTTTCACAACTGCGTAAGTCATGTCTTAACCTCTGATGATCTTCTTTTCAGTTACAGTAGAACCACGATGACTCAAACTCGGATTACTTGAATTCCCCGCTAACTGGAACAAATTTTCCTTTCCTTTGTCAAAATTTCACTTAAATTTAGCGTGATAACTCAAATTCCCCACAAACTCAACTGTTTTCTATTTCCCTTCAGAGTTCGAGTTGTATTTCTTCATTTCACAACTTCAATAAATGAAATTCACATATTCATCATTTAATAGGGTAAGTGATACATAAAGCATTTAAGCAAGTCATGTACAGTGTACATGAATTGCTTGACAATAATGTGCAAATAGGATTGATTTTTGTTTGAACCCAACATTAGCTTGTTGTTCAAAGGGACCAAGAATAAATATGTACTGTTAACATTTCACTTTTCCCTGACTTGAATTGAAATTCCCTGATCTTGATGAAATTTTTTCCGTGCTGACCATTTCCTAACCTTTAACAACCATGTTGAGGGTCAGTCTTATGTCTCTTCAATGTAGGCCACTCTAAGCACTTAAATCTCTGTTCACACCATGTAAATTTTACAAGGTGGAAAAGATAATATTATTGTAATGCAAACCTGAAAATACGAAAAAGTTGGTCAATTTCTGAATCTCCATGAAAGAGAGGTTTCTTTGTAACCATCTCTGCAAATATGCACCCCACACTCCAGATGTCCACAGGGCAGGCATATCTCTGGCATCCTAAGAGAACTTCAGGTGCCCGGTACCACAGAGTTACCACCTAACAATAAGAGAAAATTGCCATTCTGTTGTTAACTGTGATCCTTTCAAACCATACCCGGACACGCAATCCCTCACTTAGCGCAAGCGTCTTATTACTTCCTTAACTTAACACATCTTTCAAGCCCTTGCACCCGTCGGTGTTAGACTATGAGTAGTCCCCCATTTTTCCTCAGAAATAGTAGAGCGAGCGAAACGCAAGTGCCCTTGATGTCCCTCGAAGTCAGGTGCAAATGGCTCAACTTGATGGGGAAATTATCAAGCATTTTTGAGCTGATTTCCCAGAGAGGAAGAAGAGGTTTTCTTCCTGGGAGCTGGAGCTGAAAAACTTTGCAGTGGATTGAATTTCGGCAGAAAAAATGGCATTTTTTTTGTGACTGGTCCAGGTCCCTGCCAGATCAAAATGACCAGCATTGACTTCGTCCTTTCAGGCAGGAGCAGTGGTTATGCATCCTTGGAGACCTAGGGGCAGTCAGTCAGCTAAAACACTTTCATCCCACCTTTTCTCCTGACCCGACTGACTGCCCCTGGGTCTCCGAGGATATCGATGGTGGTTATGCAATAAAGGCAAAAAAAAACAGTAGCAGCTGAGCAGACACCAAACACAGAGGAATACATCACATGTAAGTCTTTTTTATTCATTTCAATTCATTTTTAGCATTTGCGGATCTCAGTATTTTATTTCTCATACAAAGTCTCTTATTTTCAACACGTCAAGCACAAAGGTCACTTGTCAGCTTTGGTACGTAAACTACTTTACACCTTTTCCTTGTTACATGAGTTTGGGCCACCTGAGCTGTATTTAACTCAAAAATGCCTGGGTAAATAAATCATAAAATATAAAATATAAAATAATTTAATATATACTACCTTAAAATATTGACTGTATGTTTACATACCTCATGAGTGTAAGCCCTGATAGGGATTCCAAATGGTCTACCAAGCCCAAAATCAGCTAACTTTATCAGTCCCTGTTCATCAATTAACAAGTTCTGGGGCTTCAGGTCACGGTGTAAAATTCGGCGACTGTGACAAAAGTACATAGCGTTTGTCATCTGGTATAAGTAGCTCTGCAAATTAAGAAAGCATTCAAATGCTTCAGTAGCCCGTTCAGGCTCCAAGATAGTGGGGTCCTCTGAATCAAGAAAGCACAAACACAAAAATAAAGCGGAAGGAAACTGAATGTCCAACTTTTCACGTGCCTTTTACTTTAATTCACGTCTTTCCCACTATCCGGGGGGGAGGGGATTGGGATGGGGAGGAGGATGTTCACAAATTACAGTTTCTCTTTCTCTAATAAAATAGTCAGTCAGTGTGGTGCACAAAGCTGTTTTGATGAACATTGGCCTTTAAGACATACTCAATTATTATATTTGTCATTAATTTTCACAATGTAAATAATACTGTTTCTACGGTGCATATATCATTTAGAGATTAGTTTAGACATGACATTTCACAACATAATTTTCTTGTGCCTGTGGTCACAGTTTTTATAGCCTGACAATAAGATGTACTTTTGTAATAATAGTAAATGTCTTGGTTTATTAAAACTTAATGGTTAATGGTTTGTTTAAATTGCTAATGTCAATGCACAAAAATTAGGATAACAAAATTGACACAACATTTTTTTGCATCTGGTACCTAAGAAATTACCTTAACCAACATGGGGTCCAACAATCCTTGGGTTGAGTCTAAGTGCTTTTTGAGGTCACACATCAGAAATTCAAATACTAAGTACAACTTTGCATCGTCGTGGAGTATGTGCTCTAAGCAGACGACATTAGGATGATCCCTAAGCTCCCTGAGCAGTGAAATTTCTCGAACTGCTGTGCTAGGTATTCCTTCCTCTGCTAGCTCAAGGCGGATTTTTTTCAAGGCCACCAGTTTGTTGGTCTTTTTGTTGCGTCCTTTGTATACTACACCATATGTACCTGGCCAGAAGGAAGACAGTATTTCATTCAGATAGATAGTATGAGCAGTAAGTAATGCAAACGGTAAGAGAAAAGACAAAGAAGACACAAGTGTCAGTAATTTCCATGGATGTCCCTTTAAATACAGAGCTCTAAAACAACTACAGTTAAACTTTTGAAGGCCAACAGATTCCTTTGTTATACATATAATACCCTTGATGTTTAATTTAAGTACAAGATGACATACCTTCACCTATCTTTTCAATTCTAGTGAAGTCTTCCATGGTCACAGTTTCATCACCATTGGATCCCATTGTGAATTGTGTGATATTAGTACTAAGTTCTCCTTGGACTTACCTTGAAAAAAAAAAAAAATCACAGAATGTCTAGAGAGGTGCATGTGGTGCACAATATTGCAAGTTATCCTCTTTTTGAAGGGATCGAAAAACATATATGAATGGTTTGTTTTTGTAAAATGAAGTGTTTGCCAACAAACTTATTAACTGTATTGCATAAGAAATCGATAACTTCTTTGGCATTTGGCTGACACAAAATAAATAGTAAAACGTTTAAATATTATTTTTCGGCTTTCAGAAGAAATGTCATTGTTCCTGTATTATTCTCAGGAAGTTCCATCGAAAACACCGAGTAGAAAAGAACATTTCATATCTTTAGCATGGAAACACTATGTCCAGGTGGATTTCTAGAAATCAGAAATACTTTGAAAACAGAAGAAAAGGTGGGAAATCTTTTTTTTAAATCGTGTCTGAGCTCATAAAGTTACATAAGACTTAACAAAGCACGCATTCTTTCTTTGATTTAACAGATTTTCGCTTTATAAATATTTCGAGTTTGACTTTCGTCTTCTCTTTATGTTTTATACAGATTGTTTTAATGCTAATTTATCGAGGCATCTTTTCTCAATCAAGCAATTCGAACCGCAATAAGCTTTTTTACTAGAGCGCACCGCGTGAGTCTTTTCAAAGCGTGCTCCGAAGATTTTAATAGATCGAAACCATCATTGGTGAAGCATTTCTTTTGCAATAACAGTTTAAAAACAAATTTGACACAGCATTTAATGTTTCAATGGATAAGAAGAACGTCTTATGCTACATACTTTACGCTTACAGGTAGCTATGTCGATTTTTCATTTTGAGTATTGCGTCGACGGCACAATATAATGCCAACTCGATTTTTAACCTTGCTTCGGTGATCACGAATGCATCACAATTTATCTGTTGCCTTTAAAAGAACATATCTTTCATGAATTGAAAAGAAAACCTATGTCTTATGAAAACTGCTTACAGAAACGTGGTATCAACAGCGTTGAATAATTCCGATTTGCGATGGAAATAAGAACAAAACAAGCGTGGTAACGGATCGACTGCATACAGGCGGTGATTTGTTGTTACCCAACGGAATTGATCCAATTTCTTTCAGCAAAGTAACTGCTGTTCAGTAAATTCGACCCTGTATAATTCGGTACCAATACAAAAATTAAATATCAAAAGTAAACCGCTTCTAATAAAAAAGCTACAGTTAACGTACGAAAAGAAAAACAAACCTGGTCAAAATATAGTGTCCCCAAGCTGAAGGCAAAGTGAAAATGACGCGAGTTTTCCGTATTTGAAAATAGCGGCGTTTGGCCGGTGAGCCAATCAAATTGCAGCACTTCAGTCATCCTCAGGTCTTCTCGGCCTTACTCTGCCACGATCTATACACAATTTTAATTGGACAATTTATTGAACAGCTGGACCAATCAGATTCTTCGAAATATCTTCCTTTCTCTCTCTTTCCAAAATGGAGGCTTTGTATGCGATTCCCTTTCATGTTTTAGAAGTACCAAATCTAAAATTAAAGAAGCCAGGATGGGTAAAAGCTCCGTCAGCCATGGTTGTCTTTGCCTTTGTTCTCCTTTCGTATTTTTTAGTCACCGGAGGTAAGTATGTTTCTTTTTTTATTGCTTTGCCCCGAAGAACTGATCAGTCTGACTCAGCTGAGCTTATTACGTGTCACAGGAAAAAATAACGGATTCCCATTTTTGGATATTTTAGGGTATTTAAAGAATACCCAAAAAAATCCCAAATTTGGAAGAGTGAGACAAGTCCCAATCAGGGAACTTGGTTGGGAATTCCCTACTTGGGACTTGTCTCACTTTGCCAAATTTGGGATTTTTATGGGTATTCTTTAAATACCCTAAAATATCCAAAAATGGGAATCCGTTATTTTTTCCTGTGTGTACAGTGAGAAATACATATTTCGACAACTGTAGCACATTTTTAAGCTAATTCTTTTTATTCCAGTTGAAACTGGTGTGTCTTAGAAATTCTCCAACAATTTTCAGTGAAGAATCGTTCATATTGAAATTGTAAGGAATAATTCCTTGCAGTATCAATAGTATCATCTTCAAGTATCAATATGATTATATTATTGATTTTAAACAATTAAAGGAGGGGGGCATTGGGATTTTCGGTTTTGCGGTTTTGCCTTTTTCTTAGATCAGTTTCTCGTTTTTTGTTGCAAAAGACTTCGGTTTTTCAGTTTTGGTGGTCATTACGGTTTGCGGGTTTTTCGTTTTTTAGCATCTGGTTTTCGGTTTTCGTGAAAAATACTAGCGGTTTTCGGTTTTGGTACCCGATGTGGTTTTTGGTTTTTCCTATTTTGTCCTATTTTGGGTTCCGGTTTCTGTTCGATTTGAGCAGCAGTTGATCTCGAATAGCCGCGAAACGCCAAAGTTATTTAGAGGAATGCGTGACAAAATAAATGTCATGGTAGGGGATCAAGCGTCTCCCTTGACGCCCGGCGAGACTTTGACCTCGCAGACCAGGGCGACCATTTGGTCAGTTTGCGAGCTATGGCTTCCAACGTGCCTCCCGCGCCAGCAACGAAAGAAGCAATTGTGGATTGTGTTGCGTTTTTTTACGAGGAGATTTTAGATTAAAGTTTCCAGCGCTATAGCTTTTTGCGACTGCAAAATTGCAATTCTAAAGAGGACTTGTGTGCAAATTCTCCTAAGTTAACTAGGCTCTATAACTAGCGGCTTTTCAGAAATTGAGCGGCAAAGTCTTAGCTCGAGAGAGCGGCAGAAACAAAGCCTATGATTTAAGTAGACACAAAAAGATACAAAGGCTTCAGACAAAGTCCATGACATTCACAAAGACTTTGGTGAAATTAGTGTTAGTTTAGATTGCTCTGTATACCCCACTTGTCACCATTGTATCGGTTTTGACGGTTTTGTATGCGGTTTTCGGTTTTGGCCGAATTTTTTTGCGGTTTTGCGGTTTTGGATGATTTTTTTCTTCGGTTTTGCGGTTTCTGATATACCCCAATGCCCCCCTCTTAAAGGTGCTTCTGCTCCCAGACCCCCCCCCCCCTCCCCCTTCAGACACACACACCTCTCCCTTTTCACCTTTAGGATTTAAGTTTCTATAACTTTTAAATAACCAATTGGTTAAGTTTGAGAAAAGTCTCACAGCAGGTTTTATCATAGAGAAACAGAACAAAACTCTTAAAAAAATAGTATAATTTATTATTATACTTGATAAAGCCCAATATTTGTTAATTGATTAGTCAATTTAATCAGTGATATGTCCAAAGCATTTGATTCACTTCATTCCCCATTATTGATTGCCAAATTGAGAGCTTTTTATGGCTTTTCAGATGAAATACTAGGTTTGATACAATCATATTTTTGCGAAAGGAAGTACAGGGTAAGAATCGATCCAGAAGCAACCAGTGAGTGGTATGAAACTACAAGGGGTTGCCCGCAAGGATCTTTCTTTGGACCACTCTTATGCAATGTATTTCAAAATGATTTGCATTACCTGGTGAAAAACTGAACTTTATTCATGTGCGCTGGTGACCATCAGTGAAATTGTCACATGCTGCTGAAACAATTAAAGAGAGAGAACAAATTTTGAATAAAGAAAGGAACAAAGCGTCCCAGTGGTGTGACAGAAACGTTTGATAGGTAATTTCTCCAAATGTCAGACCATAAGCTTTGGCTCAAAATAAAAGAACAAGGAATTGAAAGTCAAAATGCTGAGTACTGAGGAAGTACAAAAACCAGGCATTTCTGTGGATGAACAACTAAGATTTACAACTCAGCATTTGCAGGGAAGGTGCAAGTCTTGTCGGCATGATATTGAAATAATTTACAGAAATTAATACCTACATCAGCAAATTGCAAATTGTCAAAGCTGCATTATTGCCACATGTCACTGCCAATTGATGCCAGATGCCAGAAAGTTAGAAAAACTTCAAGAAAGAGCACTATATACTTTACATCGTCGCCTACAAGAAATGGCCACGGACATGTATAAAGTTAAAAATAACGTATCATCTCTCTGCATAGCAGATCTTTTCAAACTGAATAATAGTGGTTACCACCTTAGAAACTCTGATTTTATTATACCTCCATTCAACTTCAGTAGCATATTTTGGCAAACTTAGCCTGCACTATCTTGGCCCTACCATCAGGGTAAAAGTGAATAGCTACATTAGATCTTCCAAAACTTTGTCAATTTTTAACGGATGAAGTCTGTAAATATCAGTAGCCTCATCGACCATTACTGTGACATGATTGTTATCTTTGTGAAAACATGGGTAGGGTTTTGTATTTTATCGCCTTTTGTTATCACCATTTTAACCTTTCCAAAATCAGCATTTTATACTTATATTTAATGTTTAGGATTTGGCCATCTGAGCTCCACTGATAAGCACTGTATTGTAATTTATATAGCAGACTGTAAAGTGGAGATAACTTGGAATCAGTCAGTAATGAGCTTTAATGTAATTCAGCAATACCAAGTAAAGCAGGATTACACATACACATAGCTTTCAAAGGTTGAATGATTTAGTAGAATGAATGGCCTTGATGTAAATTTTCTTTAAAACCAAGTGCCAATATCCTGGCAATCAAAAAGAACTGAATGTAAATACAACAGGGTGCAAAGAAAATCATTTTTACAGCTTGCCATTCAGGCAAGTTGAAGCCAGGATTTACTAGCCCAGGCGTCATTTCAACTAGCCCCCATATTTTTTTTGACCAGCAGAATTGATTTCACGGTTCTTCTGTTATTCGAATTCCTTGAAAAACATCACTTGCCCGTTGGGCAAGTTAAAAACAGAATTCAGTAGCCCAACAGCAAAATCCACTATCCCCAGGCTATCTAACACTACTTTCTTTGCACACTGTGCAAGAAAAGAATGTTCATGCCTTGTGATATTATTTTTGTAGGAATCATCTATGATGTCATTGTTGAGCCTCCAAGTGTGGGAAGTACAACAGATGAATTTGGTCACAGTAAACCAGTAAGTCTGCAATTCTTCCCTCTTCAATATAACGTACTCTAGCTTTTTTACACTGTTTTACTGACAGTTTGAAAGCAAACATTCGTAGGAGGGCTTTTTTTCCCTCTAACACTATCATAGAAATTATGGAAAATCAAGCGTTTACCCTTTGAATGCCAACCCAAATACACCCTAGCAACCAGCAACCATGTTGGATTTTTTCACAAAAATTTTTTTTGGCAAAAAACGCTTTATAAGCAAAACGTAAACGTTTTATAAGTTCTCTTTTGTTGTAATTCTTACCTTAAACAAGTAAACACAACTTAAAAATGTATGTGTAGTCACAAATATCATGGCAGCTTCTTTTAGTACTTCACAAAACAACATCAACTTGTGAATGATGTAACTTTTGATAACTTCCTTAACAAAACATTTAGGTTAGCAGTGAAAATTATTCCATCTCAGACCCTTTCAAACAACCACAGCCAAAAACAACGAGCAACCAGAAGATATTTGGCCTTGTAAGAAAGAAAGTCAGTTTTGTATCAACAAAGCATTTTCAACTACACTAATTGAATTTATGAGTATGTTTTGTTTTATAGTTGTTATTGTGCCCCAAGGCATGATGCTTGATAATAGAGCTTTGATGCATGATTATGCATCATGCATTTGCAATTTAGTGCATTAAAAAATACATTCTAAAGCTAAAAAGGTGTTTTTTTTTATTTAATAACCATTGTAGTCTTCAGTGAATATGGAGCAAATTGGCATCTTCTAACTACACTAAATTTCATTCAAAATGAATTAAAATCAAAGCTTTATGCAGAAAATGTTCTGCACTTTCATTGCACAGCATCTGTGCAAAAAATGAAGTTCCTAAACACGAGTTTAGAGAAACCGTAAGACTAAATGTAGCGTTACACCATTTTTTACAAAAAGATGGTCACCAACATCGTGCGCAAGGGCAAAAGTGATCATTTGTATGATTATGCAATTTCATAATCATATTTTTGTTAACTCTATTTTGTGTTTCTCAACTACAGGTTGCCTTTATGCCATACCGTGTAAATGGTCAGTACATCATGGAGGGTTTGGCCTCAAGTTTTCTTTTCTCCATGGGTGGATTGGGCTTTATTATCTTGGATAAATCAAATGCTGTTGGCATGTCTAAACTGAACAGATTTCTTCTACTCTTCCTGGGTTTTGTGTGCGTCTTAGTATCTTTCTTTACATGTCGTGTGTTCATGAGGATGAAGCTTCCGTGAGTGCTTGCTTTCTTTTAATGATTTTATCAGTTTTTTCATGTCTTTGTTGTTTTTGCAGCAGCATTGCTTGTAGTTGTCAGCTTAACTGTTCTAAAGATTGTTGGTTCTAACAAATAACAAAATGGACTTTTCTAAAGTTTTTGTCAGCATTGTCAAGTTTTGGCATAGCCTGGTGCCCCTTCTTTTTTTAATTGCAGCTACAGTGTAGTATTTGGGTGACCACTCCAAAAATACCTGGAAAGCAGGGGCCCTTCAATTTTCCTAGATAAGCCTACCTATCCTATCTAGAATGATCAAAGGGCTTCTGCTTGCAGGGTGCTCCCAAAAAAAACTGTGTAAACAACACTTGCTATCCATTTTTGCTAATTTTACTCTTTGTCTTAGCATGTCCCCAGCTGAATTTATGGAACTATTTATTTATTACATGTGAAATGTATTGTCAATAACTTTCTAGTGTAGCTTCCAGTACTTATTTTCATTACTACTCAGATTGGTGTAAGTTTCTATGAAAATTACTGGGTGCAATTCAGTTTCAGGTCTGTTTAAACCTGTAAATGAATTTTGGCTTAGTTATCCACATGCCTTTCATGTTTTAAAAACTGACAACTAATTTTCAACTGGTTCGGGTCTCTGTCAAGTTTTAAGTTTGGAGTAACCTAACTTGAGCCCTAGCAAGAGGAAGCAATGGTACATTTCATTTTAACATCCGAGATTTTGCAGCTCGAAGCAAACACCTTAATGATTTTGTATTGTGTGGATCACAAGTTTCCCAGAGCCACTATTTTATAGGTACAATTTTGCTATCCCTTAATACAAATGCGCTTAGCACTGAAAAGTATAGGTGCTACATAAATATTTATTATTAATACTATTATTATTATTATTATTATTATTATTATTATTATTATTATTATTATTTAATTTTGTTTTCTGATGATGGTGCTTTTGTTTTTATTCTCAGGGGCTACATGCAAGTTTATTAACCAAAAGATCACCAGCCTTGTCAGCACTTTTAGAGTAACTCTTATTTTAGTCACTGTTTTCAGTCAAATAAATCATTTTGTTATGAACAACGTTCATTGGCATCCTTTTTGTGTCTTTTTTGAGGTTTGTTTTGCCAGAGCTGAAAAGTGGAAAAGTAAAGCTCCATCAGACTCATTAATTGCACCTTCTGTCTATTCTGATTATGTCTTCGTCAAAATGCCTCTGTGCCCTAGCAGCACCAAATCAAGTTGTAATTGCGCAAAAGTTAAATGAACAATAATTGTTCTAGTTAACTTTTTGATTAAACATTAAAAGATGATAAGACTTCATTTGCCTATAGTGTATTTTTATGGAACACTGAGATTTAAAAAAGTTCTTGAGAATTCAGTACAGAAAGAAGTTGACAATTTCGGCAGACTGTTTTTAGTTTTGAAATGAAGTGATAATCAGCCAGTGATTTGGGACTGGGAAGTGCAGTAAGTTTGAAACCGCACATATATGGCGAAATCCCAGCTCTTGGGTACCCCACGCCACCCAAGGAGAAATCTAACACTAACTCACAAAGGCACGAACAGACAACGAAAAACTGGAAGGATTTACCACTATACTATATATGTTGGGAGTAATCAGTAGCTAGTCTGAAATGTCATGAGGAGCCTATTCTGCTTGGGCTCCCCGTGTTATGATTTACAATATACGATCGAAAAATTTCAATTTCACCGCCACCCGGCTAAGGGACGGACCATTCGAAAAGTTATGGGTGGGGGGGCGGGCGAACTACAAAAAAATATTCGCGCAAGGGAAAATTAAATGAAAAAAAATTCATGCGCTCCAATTAATCCTAAAAGAACCCACACCGCTTTTAGTGAATGGTGATTGACTCACGCCTTCTTCAGAGTCGTCTATCGCGTGATCTGCGCGCAAACTGAATTCTGGGTAAGCTAAGGCCCGGTACTATGTGTATCCCCGTGATATGTGTATCCCCATACACATATCCCTAGTGATATGTGTATCCAGGGTGGGGATACAATAAACACTGATGCTCATCCGCGACACAATAAGGAAATATCTTCTCTTGCTAAAGGAAATGTCGTCGATATCATCTAACATAACTAGTAACACAACTAGGGTTAAGACAGGAATCAAACAACATGCAAAGGTGGAATATTGTGGCGCTCGCAGGAGGGATACACATACCACTGACCCGGCGCAGAGATAAGTGTATCCCCTGTTTTTTCTTCTCTTGCTAAAGGAAATAGCGTCCATATAATCTATCAGAACAACTAGTAATACAACTAGGTTTACAGGAATCAAACAACTTAAAAAGTTGGATTATTATGGTGCTTGCACGGGGGGATACACATATCACTGGACCAGCGCAGCGATATGTGTATCCCTTCTCTATTTTTTTACTTTTCGAGTTATCCCTTGCTGAATGAAATTTTGTCAGTTATACTTATTTAACGCGACTAGTGACATATGAATTATAATCACGTTGGATAAGGAGAGGGGCGAGAACGAATGTTTACATCAACATTGCGGCCCACGAAGAAGTAAACTCGCCAGAGACAGCTTTGCGATTATTTTGTCTCGAATCGTTGCTCTTTTGTCGATTGTGTTGCTCGTAATCTTGAATCATTTGTAGTCCCTTTGACGATGATTCGCAAAATTCACAAAAACAACAGAAATAAAACCGACACTTGTTTGGAGGGGAGGGGGGTAGGGGATACACATTTCACTGGCAGCCATTTTGGAGGGATACACATATCACTAGGGATATGTGTACGGGGATACACATATCACGGGGATACACATATCACTGTGACACCGCCTCCGATCCGTCATTCAGCTCGCTGCAAAAAGAAAAGGTTCTCTTTCACTCTTTACCAAATGTCTGCCATCGAATACCGCAATTTGCTGTATGAAATAAGCCAGGAAGTCAACTGGCTTTCTGAAAGCCAGCGATTATTATTTATTTGCGAAGGATTCATTGGAGGAGGAAGTGAGCATAGAATTCGTGATGTCCTAAGTTTGTTTAAGGAGCTGCAAGAGCAAAAAAATCTAGGAATTGATAATCTACAGCTACCAAAAGAGATTGTGAAAGGAATAGGGAAATGGAATCTTCTGGAAAGAATCAAGAAGTTCGAAATCAAAAGAGAGGAATTTAGGGCATTACTCGAAACTGTTAGCCGAGTACTCGCCGAAAGCGGTCATCTGGAACGGCTTGTTGCAATTTGCAAGGGAAGGATAGCCGAGGAGAGAGAAAACACAATAGAAAATGCACGCGCGCTGCTTACAGAATTAGAAAATAATAATGCCTTAGCCGTTGGACAAGTAGGAATTTTAAAGACCCTTGTGGGAGAAGACAGACCAGATTTGCTGCAACAAGTTGAGGAATTCGAGAGGAAGAGAGAACAGGAAGAAACCACGGAGAGAAAAATAAAAGAATCAGAGGATGCGAAGAGAAGAAGAAAAGGTTAGTTATTCGATAAGAAACTGGAAACACTTCACACGTGGTTTATAAGCAATCTGGCGCAAATTGATAAATAAATATTGAATGAAGTGTGGCTAAGAATATATCATCAAAATATAAAGAATTATGCAGATCGAAGTGCGGCCGAGAAAAATTAAAACGGGGCGTTCTAACCAGCTAGAGACCCTAAGATCTGAAAAGTCTAATACCCCAAAACTCGAAAACGAAGACCCCTTAAGGTTTTTACTGTTAAGAATAAGAAAGAAAACTTTCAAAAGTTACGCTCGTTCTCCCCATCGATCCCCAGAGGAGGCCTGTCAACCGGAAGTGGATTTTTTTCCTTCTTGGGCAATTGTTTTGTCCAAATTTTTGAACAAATTGGCTTTTAATTTATGAAAGTAAATAAACTTAGCGATACAAATTTAATAGCTTCGATCAGAAAGTAATTAGCAGGTATAAGGCAAAAATGTAAACCCTAGGGGGGCTCCCATGTAAAAGTGACGGGCATGCTCGTCGTCTCGCTTAGGGGTATAAATTGCAGATTTTGGTCTCGCTTAGGGTGTTTGGGACGGAAAGTCACTATATTTTCCTATTCCGGTATCGCTTAGGGCTGTGCATAAAGAAATTTACAAAAAATGCCGTAAGTAATGTCATCGAGTTTAGTATGGTCTAATGTTTAAGCTTGAGCCACACCCACAATGGTCTCCCTTAGGCAAAGTTTAATTTTAATTTACCGACGAGTATCCCCTCCCCCGCCCCCGGAGTAAACCCTCACCTATTCCTCTTTGAAATATCGAGGCGTGAAAAGTCACAACCGCGCTGAAAACAAAGCTACCGTAGTAAGGCCAGCGTACTTCTAAATATAGATGAGCTACATATCCCGTTTTTGCTGTTAAATTGGGTATATGTCGATGTGGCCATTGAGCACGGCTGACGCGACCTCAGGACTGAGTTACCTGCAAGTACACGGGAATACAGCCGCCTCAGTCATCAACTCACAGCGGTGAGTTACAGGCTACCCTAGGAACGTACAACCTCAAAGACCTGAGCTCCTCCACAAAGATCTCACCCACCAGTGGCATCCATTACCTACAGGTCAGTTCTTGAATGATAGAGATAGGTTTAGATAAGACAAATCTATTTTATACTAACTCAAGCAGTAATTAACTTCTCATTGCTTTCCAATTTCAGCTCAAGCTGTTGCTGTCTTGTCTTCCGCAAAATATGCTGGAGAGAGACTTATAGGAAGTAAGCTTAATAATATATAATTGAGCTATGAAGCATTTCCCCTCTCTGCAGCGACAGTCGTCAGTATATATATACTAAGATATCTTCCTTTTTTTCTCTTCTTCTTTTTCCGGTGATAATTCAATCTTTTCAGTAAAAGGTAAACGAAATAAAAGGCCAAAAAAATGCCTCAGACGTTAAGTTACCGCGGGGAAGGTTTCTAACAGAATAATCTGCTAAGAAAGCGAACTAATCAAAGAAAAAGGAGAGGGATGAAAAGAGTAAGGGCTTAAATGGTAGTAAATAATGGTGATAGGACTGAGTGGAGTCCAATTCGGTCTAAAATAAGGACAGTTGATAGCCAATCAAATTTGAGAATTTTGTCATAGTTTTGATTAATGAAATTTCCCAATAATTAGATGAATGTACCCAATAGCCCAGTCATAACATTAGTTTACTGATAATCTTAACAGCCGTTACTCCTTACTGCACTTTCCGTAATGTTGCTGGTGCTACAGTAATCGTCACCACCCGGATGATCTTGCGCAAGAGTACCAACCTTGAAGAATTCGTAACATCTTTCACTGAAGCCGTCCTTCCTGCTGCCAACACCTTGCGAGCAATCAGTGAAGGTTCGATATGCTTCACAATCCAGGCAGAAAACAGCTCAGCTCTTGAGGCACTGTGGAAACAGTACCAGGATGGTGTTCTGCGTGACAAGCTTCAAGAATTCCTGGTGACTGATGATTAGTTTGTTGAGCGTCCACCTCTCCTTCATTGTGACCTCCAAGTATAACTGCTTGTTCTGATAGTGTTACGGACAAAACTAGATTACTGTTGGCTTTGACGAGGTAATTCAAGCTGACTAGTAGATTTAGCTGCAAAATGTGTCTAAAAGAGTGTCCCAAAGATCTTCTTACGTCAGAGTGGGGCGTGATAAGAAAAGTCATGGATAAAAGCCCGAAGGGGACACACCCTACACTAAAGAAAACTGAAAAAGAATAGAAAAATATATTTTAAATGAAGAATGACTTAATCGCAATTACCCTAGCTACTCTAGCTCTCATTTGGCTGTCTGGTTATGGTACCCTGCTCGAGGTGACAGATAAAATTAAAGCAATGTACAGGTTAGTCTCCTTGGGGGTTAAGTTTGAATTTTCGACCAGCATCCCCGTTCCCTTCACATACTGCGGCACGGCCCAGGAAGAAAAGCCGAACTTAACCTTTATCTCAGTAGTATTTTCATGCCCAATGATCTACTATCCTTTTTGTTCATTTTGATCTCTTTCATGTAAACAGCCTTAAAAGTCGAGGAAAATGTCCTTGATAGACAAAGAAGTCGTCCAAATTCTGATTCAGTGGTATATACTACAGAAAAAGAAAACGATGTGCCAGCTGCCGTCTTCCCGCAAACAAAGGAAAAAACGCATCTCATGGACTCAAGGGATCCGGGTAATCAATATTGCGTGAGAAAACACGGATCTTGTTAAGCCCGGTTCTGACGCCGAACTTTTCATGAGCCGAACCTAATACATTGAATTAAGTGCATGAAAAGTTCAGCGTCTGAATCAGTTAGCTAATAGGAACGCCTGTTTCAATTTGGAACGGCTCAGTCGTTCTTTTCGCCTAGCCCAGCCGGGAATTTAGTTTGGAACGGCTTTGTTTCAGACGCCGAACTTTTCATGTACCGAACCTAATGCATAAATTATTATAAAGTATTTTGTAAGCAGTTTGACCGAATTTTCGCCCTTTGAACCGTAGTTCAGCTGCAATTAAGACCGGCGTCGGGAATCAATTCGGCCGATCTTACATGTAATAATTTGGCTTTGCCTTAATTCGAATTAGGTTCTGCTCTTGAAAGTTCGGCGTCTGAACCGGGCCTTTTTACCCTGAGATAGTCCACTGATTGCGTGTGAGTGGAGTTTGGAATTATCCATTAAGATGAGAGTATTTAAATGTTGGCGTTCACAACGCAAAGTAAAGTCATCGAGTTTTCTGAGCGAACGCCAGATTTCCCAGAAAGAAAGCTTTCAAAGCATTTTCCCACCAAAAAATCATCGTAATACCCGTGAGGAGGGGAAGAGATGAGAGACTTTTCTGGCCTTTAAGAATTTCGCGCTTTTATGTGCGTTTTTTTTTTTTCTGATGCGGGAGCGGAGATTTGTGAATCGAGTTTGCACACAGTAACCAGCCTTGATTCGCATCATGTAGGAAAACAACACTGAACAAACAACGAGCCTCAAAACCGTTAAAAAAAATTATGGCCATGAAATGAGCCCGGTTTATGCTCCTCTGTACGTCTTTCGCAAATCGTTGTTTGGTATACAGCCACTGGGCTTTATATCACCTTGCATAGCTCATCAGCCAGACTAGACGGGATTCACCCTGTGCATATTCAACTGATCGGGGATTCAGGATTTACCTGATCACCGCAGTGTCCGTAATAAAGAGGTTAATTTTATATGAATTTACTCTCTGGGGCAGAGATTTAGTGTCCGTTATCCATATTAGAAATAGTCCGTATTATAGAGGTTTTTTACCGAAAATATATGAGAATTTTGTCGGGACATTGAAAACTATCCGTAGTAGAGAGGTTTCCGTACCGAGAGGTTCTACTGTATTTCTTTTCTTCTTCGATTCTTTTTCCTTATTGTCCTTTTTTATTTTTAAATGTGTATTGAAAATCATATGAAGCATTATTTCGGCCCCCATTTTATTAATTCAAACACGGTGGGTTCGCGTGAGGGCCGAATACATGGCCGGAAAACGCCAAAATAAACTGAGCTACTGTGTGCTTTCCACGGTTCAAAATGAATTCCTCGCCGGGCAAGACGATGTTTTCCCAGTACTCCGTGGTTTCTTGCTGTCTCCTTCCCCTTCGTTGCTATTGCTGAATTTAAAATCGCCATTCTCGCTCCAGCGGAGTTTCGGTGGAAAATCGTTCAGGGCGAGGATTTTCAGCAACTTGTTGGCACATTCAAGCACACTCATTACACAAGTAGAAAATAAGGTGAAAACTCTTGTGTTAATCCCTTGCTCTTCATTTTCCAGAGGATAGAGCATTTGAAGTCAAACAGGGGGAGAAAAGCACATTTATGTGGAAAATGGAAAGATTTTTTTATGATCAGCCACAGATGTTCCTTGAGCCATCGGGAAAATCTGACAGCGGTGCTTTCAGTCAAAGTACGTTTTCTGAACTGCAGAGCGAAGAAAATAAAGGTAATTACCCTTTGTTGTTGTTTTTGTTGTTGTTGTTGCTAGTTTAAACTACTCATAACTCATGTACACCGCCGGGGCGGAGTTGTATGACAAACAATACATGCAGCATGTCTTTATGCCGGAACTGAGAACGCTAGGCAGAAATTTTTCTTATAAAGTACAACAACACTACACGAAACAGGCATAAATGGCTATATTATAACCAGGGACAGAAATCGTTATATTATGACGCTAACAAACTACATTTTCATATTTCGGCCAAGTCTTGTTTCCAATCATGCTCGGCGATTTCAGATGTGACGTCATCCGTTAATCCAACCTAGTTCCCAGGGTTCTCTCTCTTGCTTCGAGAAAGAACCCTGGTTGCAGCTGCTGCTCATATGACTATCTGTGACAATGAACTCCTCACCAGGATAGGGCTAATGCCTTTTATCTTTATCTGTGGTCCATATAGTAACTACCCTGGCTCCAGAGGTCTGTTCTCGAAGTACCTGGGATGATGAAATAAACCGTGCTTACGGTTTGAAATCAGAAATTAGGAAAGAAAAAAAAAACTCTGGCATCCAGGGTATGGAGCAACTGAATATGAGCTAAAACTCGAGGCAGTAATATACACATGCTATTTGTGTTAAGGTAAATAAAGGAGAGAGGATTATACTCTTCATTACGCTTTCAAGAAGTGCTTCGATCGTGTACATCACAGAACACTACGAGATTAATTAATTAAATTCAGCTGAGTAGAATTAAGCTTACAGTTTCTGATTTGGTCCGTCTTGCTTTGCTCAGGTTCATCATTTAAAAGACAACATGAAGAAACAAAACAAATTACCTTTGATTCATGTTTCATAGTTTTTAAGGACTGAAGACTGGTTTCAGTTCGGTACCGAGGCTAGCCTGAGAAATTTCATACTGATGACGTGTCACCACCCAGAACTGGGTAGTGCTTCTAATTGGTCGTACCGCCTGGGAAATTTGCTTCAAGTATTCAGAAGCACTACCCAGATCTGGGTAGTGACGCAACATCAGTGTGGAATTTCCGCTCTCGTTTGTCAGACGTCATTTCGCGGGGAAACCAGTGGTGGCGTAGCAAAGTGTCTGCTGTTTTCTCAGGCTATACCGAGGCTGGCCGTTCAAGGCCGTCAAGTGCACTGACTAGTTTGCATGAAAACTCGGCGTTTGTTTTCCTGCAACGACCGGCGGTCTTACAAATTCTTGGTCAGTGAAATTCTTGTATTCTCTGCCCGGATTCTCTGAGGATGCCAAAATTGATTTATATCAGGGCTTGAAATAACGGCCGGTCAACGGACAATGTCCGGTCAGAATCGAGCATTGTCCGAGCAAATCCGTGGATGACCGGACATGTTGTCCGGTCATTTGGGCTTTCAAAGAAAATTCAATTTTGAGACAATCATGATGGAAATTTATTCAGTCTTATCATGTTCCAAAAAAAGATATTAACTAGAGGGACTTTTGTTTGTGAAATTGATGACATTTCCTGTTGTCAGTCGCAAACGAAAATTGGCTACTGCTGTGCGTGTTGTAAAGTGCTCAAGATTGCACGCCAAAACTACAACTTCTAATTTTTTGCACACTCGATTTGTTTTGAGTAACTAGAGTTGCTGTTGCTGAAAATGATACAGATCATGTAACTTGCAAAATGGAGCCTCTATTGCAACTAGTTAAGATGGATTAAATTTGTCCGGCCAAAAATGCCTATGTCCGAGCAAAATCACGTTTGACCGGACAATGTGTCCGGCGCCTGCCCAATAGTTATTTCAAGCCCTGTATATACCTCTTCATCTAATGATATGATTTCGAAACCCATAAGGCTGACGGCTTTCCGGTTTTAGTTTGTCGGCAACCCTCGCTTCATGCCACAGCCAAGAAGAATCGAAAAATTTCAATGTAAATACTTTCCGCGAGTCAAAAACAACTACACCCATTTTTAAGTCGAAAGCACGTGTATAATATGGAAAACTGGCCATAAATTTGTTCTTATGACCGACATACTTCGAACAGTCAAAGTGATCCTTTTTGCAACCTCTCCAGTTAAAATGGCGTCGCCCCTTGACTAACCATTCTGTGAGAGAAATAAAAGCCACTACATTTTTTGTTTCTATCATCTAAAACGGTACACAAATGATTGGAAGGGACGTATTTAACTTACACAGTCGATAAAATGATCTTCAAAGACCAAGGAAGATTTTGTCGCGTTATTCAGTCTGGGACTTTTTCCCGCCAAAAGGGACACTTTGTTCCATTTTTTGACAGGCTTCGCGCTGGCTGTAGCATTCGGTTTCAAGGCTCCTCCGCTCAGTAGCATAGCGTTAGGGTGATCTGAGGACGTGGCTGATTTTGGCCTGAATTGAGTAAAGTGAGTTAAGAACTTTTTCCCGGGCCTCCTCGCGCCGAATGGGAGAATGTTTCTATTCCGCGACGCGGCCAAAAGCATTTATCTCCGGATAGATCCCCCGACAGTTTTTAGCTTTGCCGTAATTTTGGCTCGGTAGACTGCTTTGAAATATAACATTCCATCACCTCAAGACTTCAAGTTAAACTAGAAAAAGCTACATATTGTTCACAGGAAAAACCAGACTTACAGGCACCGTATCACACTGACTATTTGAACGATTGTATAAACTAGCGGTTTTATTCTTCTCAGTTCTTGTGCTTAACTTTTTTATTAATTTCTAGTTCATGCTTGAGTTATATGTAACGCTGAAACAACTAACAATGTCGTTTGATATTTTAAGAGATTTTTATATTCTTATTTACTTATTTTTGCCGGATCCAGGTGGTCAGAATAATTCGTACCTACACCCCAAACCTTATTGGAGTCATCAGATAATATACTTTTCTATTTTACCTATTGACTAAGTGCTTTAAAAATGAAATTGTTACCTCTTAATCATCAAATACCACTTTTATAATCAAACTTGCCTTTAAGAAAGTTTACCAGGCCAGTAAAACATGTGAACGGTGAATGAAGGTAGAAGTTTGGACCCCCGTATAAAAAAATGTCCTAGATCCACCTCTAATAATTGAGAGTTACTTATTTACTCAGAAAGCGTCATGCCTGTTGGAAGCGAAATGAGAAGCGAAGGACTGGAAGGAGAGGTGAAAAGTCGGAGACGAAAAGAGGAAGAAGCCGCTAATGCTGAAAAGCTTGGAATTCACTTCTCCAGGCTATTGAATATATCCAAAAGGCTTTAACGATGAGACAAGAAATAAAGGACAGAAAAGGAGAGGTTTCGGCTCGTATAAACCTTGGATTTGTGTATTCTCATTCTGGTGCCTACGTTATAGCCAGAAAGTACCTTGATAGTGCACTTGAAATAACAAGAGAAATTGGGGACAAACAAGGAGAAGCTAATGCCTATGTAAAGCTAGGAATATTGCATAATTTTCTTCGTGACTATCAAAGGGCTGTGGACTGTGTGGAGAGAGCACTTAGACTTAACCAAGACCTTGGGAACAAACAAGGGGAAGCAGCAGCTTATGGAAACTTAGGAATTGCGTACTATTCTCTTGGTGACTATCAAAGGGCTTTGGAGTATCTGGAGAGAGCAGGTAGACTTAGCCAAGAAACTGGAAACAAGCAAGGGGAAGGTACAGCTTATGGAAACTTAGGAAGTACGTACTATTCTCTTGGTGACTATCAAATTGCTGTGGAGTGTCTGGAGAGAGTAGTCAGACTTAGCCAAGAAACTGGGAACAAACAAGGGGAAGGTACAGCTTATGAAATCTTAGGAAGTGCGTACTATTCTCTTTGTGACTATCAGAGGGCTGTGGACTGTCTGGAGAGAGCAGTTAGACTTAACCAAGAAACTGGAAACAAACAAGGGGAAGCTTTAGCTTCTGGAAACTTAGGACGTGCGTACTATTCTCTTGGTGACTATCAAAGGGCTGTGAAGTATCTGGAGAGAGCAGCTAGACTTAACCAAGAAACTGGGAACAAACAAGAGGAAGCTACAGTTTATGAAATCTTAGGAAGTGCGTACTATTCTCTTGGTGACTATCAAAGGGCTAAGGAGTATATGGAGAGAGCAATTAGACTTAGTTAAGAAACTGGGAACAAACAAGGGGAAGCTATAGCTTATGGAAACTTAGGACGTGAGTACTATTCTCTTTGTGACCATCAAAAGGCTATGGAGTATCGGGAGAGAGCCGTTAGACTTAACCAAGAAACTGGGAATAAAGAAGGGGAAGCTACAGCTTATGGAATCTTAGGACGTGCGCACTATTCTCTTGGTGACTATCAGAGGGCTATAGAGTATCTGGAGAGAGCAGTTAGACTTAAGGTATCATCTAGGGTAAAAAATCGTCATTTTTCGAAATTTGCAATTTTTTGATGATTATAAAATAGAGCTCATCAAGAGTTTTCTTTTAAAAAGAATTCTAGGGAAAAATGTTTTTTCTGTGCAGACTTATGGAGCGCAAAAGTTTTTTCTATGCTAATTATTTTAATTGATCGTTGACTTGATACGCCAAGCTAATCACCCAATTTGACAGAAATCGTGCTTTACAAATATAGTGCTCACTGTTTTTCCCTGGACTTTGGAAGTGAATGCCTCCAAAGAAGAAAAAAGAGCTTGTCCGTTTTCGTCCTCGACTCCAAGACGAAGGATGACGACAAAATTGTTTCGCAGAGAACGACAAGGGCTCTTACTACAATCACGAAAAATAGCTAAAGAAACTGAAGCTTCTAAAAAACCCATTGAAACTACCGCGGAATCGAGTTTCACGAGTTTCTTAGCGAGAGAAGCGAGCTTTTCAGGCCGCGAAGCGGCCAAGAGAGCGACGAAGTCGCGAGAGGTCCCGTGCCATATAAAAATCGGACGAAGGACTTTTTTGAAAGTCTATTGTAGCGGGACAGAGCCGTTAGACTTAACCAAGAAATTGGAAACAAACAAGCGTGTCGGCCAACCTCGTTCCCAGGTCGGCGACAGGTCTGCGTGACATAAAATCTCACACAGAGAGTGGAACAGAAGCCCATTGAACGTTGAACCCATTTCGTAACCATGTAACATTATCGCTTAGGTTAAGTGAGACATCTAGGCGCGAGAGGAAAACACTAAAAATCTGTGAGCGTAATTTCATTAAAGTATATCAAGATCAACCATATAGAGAGTGATCATTTGTCGCAAACCCGTTCCCGACAAAAGCGGCGACCCTGCCAGGACGCGGAAAAATCTAGCCTGCGCGCAGACCAAATTAAACTCTGGTTAACTCCGTCTGCGAAACAGCGCCGAAATCCTTGTTCTGGACTTCCAGCTGTGTACCCAGATTTGAGTACGCACCACGATTAGCCAGTTAAAAAAGACCTTTGCTTTGTTTGTCGCAAGACTGATAATAGCCAAACAGGTTGAAGGGAAATTCGAAACGCACTTCCGGTAATTCGTTGAGTCGGTTGGGGGTCCAGAACAAGGATCTCTGCGCTGCTTCGCAGGCGGTACTAATCAGAGTTTAGTTATCGTCTGCACGCAGGCTAGGAGAAATCAAGAAAATGGAAAAGAAACTCGAAGACCTCGATCGCAGGCTACTCAACAAGACGATCGACGCGAAATTACATCTACTCAAGTTTACACGTTCACAAGCAAATAGCGCTGCATAGAATGGAAACCTTACATCGATGAAAAGGCTACGCAACACTTTAGCGACGAAGGTGGAAGAAGTCCATGACCTTAAGGTGAAAGTACAAGGATTACGATTTGGAGCGGGACACCAAGAAGACGAAATCCTCCTTTGGAATTCGAAATTGGAAGGAGACGTGGGTATTCTGAAATGGCTGTTAATGACCTAGACACAAGGATCAAGGAATTAAAGAGCGCGTCACTTCAAGCCGCGAAGAAAGTAGAAGAGGACCAGGCCGCAGAGATTAGAGAACGAAAAGATCAGGAAGAAATGCAATTTGAAAAGGCGAAGTTAAAGCAAAAAATCAATTACGAAGTGCAAATAGAGGAAAATCGAAAAAAAAAAAACAATAAGGAACAATCAATCAACGCGAAGCTGCCGAAACTCGTAATTTCAATGTCTAATGGCACGCAGACATATTGGCCGCGATTTTCAGAAAGTACATGAGTCGCCTATTACCAAGTTGTCGTATCTTAAGGAGCTATTGGAGCAGAAAGTTAGGGCAACAATTGAAGGCCTTCCATTTACCACAGAAGGCTATGAACAAGCAAAGAACATACTGAAAACCAAGTATGGAAAGGAAAACGAAATTGTGAACACACACGTTACCAACATAATGTCACTTCCAGTCATTTATGGATCTAATCCAAACAGGATTTTGGAATTCTACGAATTGTCCAATACTCACAAATAGACTCCATTGGTGTTAGTGGCGATAAGAAGGGTCTCCATTGGTACCAATGGTACGATTGGTACCAATGGAAAAGCACCCTTTGCCTATGGTTCTATTGGTAAACGTGCATTTCATTAAGGGGACTTAGATTATTTTCAGATGTGGTCTGACTCGGTATAGGGCAATTCCAATGGTCCATTGGTACCAATGGTACGATTAGTACCAATACAAAAGCACCCTATTCCAGTGGTTCTATTGGTGAATATGCAGCTCATTAAGGAGAGTTAGATTATTTTCTCATGTGGTCTGGCTGGGTAAAGGACAATTCCAATCGTCCATTGGTACGAATGAAACGATTGGTACCAATAGAAAATGATGTCATTCCAATGGTTCTATTGGTGAATATGCATCCATTAACGGGAGTTAAAATGTTGTTACCAATAGAAATTGATGAAAGTTTCTTGAAAGTTGTACTCAGTTGGAAGATCCTTTACTTCTGTTTCATTCATGGTGTTTATTGTTAGAAATAGGGTGTTTTAATTTTATTAATTGGGTTCCCAGTTTTAGAAAAGCGAATGTGAATTACAGAGAAATTGTGACTTATCGATAGAAGTTTAGACATGTTTTCAATTGGATTTACAACATAGAAGCTACCAGGAGTTTTGTTGGTCTACATCTTCATTGTGGCAGTCAAGTAAATATAACATAAGAAATAAAAATCTCCATCGATTCATATGTTTATGGGTGATAAGGAGACATTCAAACTTCTGCTGTTTTTCTACGGCAACGGGTGTAATCCTGAAATTATCAGTAGATGGATTCTTCTAGCTCAGTCCTGGGCCTCATCGCAAGCTACAGCGGAGAAAAGAGCACGGCAAACACAATTTGTCAACGACAACGTTGACAGTAAAAGACATCAATGGTTCTACTACGACCTTGATTATAGCAAACTGTTGTACCTCAATGGGTTACCACGACAAACCCCACGTCAACAGTGAACAGTGACTTCAGTCACTTGAATATAAAACGGCTCTTTTAGGAGCCACCAAATACAATACAAAGTCATAACCAACAGCATGATATAACCACCTTTTTCGGAAACTCTTCACTGAAAACTTGTTTTGGTTTAAACACTTCCATGTAGATAATGACATTGCGCTAAGAAATTTCAGAAGTTAATTTCACAGTGAGTTGAGTAGTACAGTTGTTAAAACCTGTTGCCTCAATGCCACTTTGCTAGTTTCGCGCCTTTCCGCGTTGTTTCGGGTTCTTTTAAACAAGTAAGAATTACCAAAAACTAGTGCTTGCGTACAGGAAAGAAGACATTCATATGTCGTGTTGTTGTTTGCTCGTGAATCACAGTAAACTTGGTGTAAAAGGCAACTTGTTTTGCGTGGTTGGCTTATAAAACGAGGAATATTCATAATAATTATTAGCGCGTTTTTACTTGGTGTAAAAGCGAACTTGTTTTGCGTGGTTGGCTTATAGAACGAGGGATATTCATAAGAATTATAGCGCGCTTTTACTTGGTGTAAAAGCGAACTTGTTTTGCCTGTTTGGCTTATAGAACGAGGAATATTCATAATAATTATTAGCGCGTTTCTACTTGGTGTAAAAGCGAACTTGTTTTGCACCAATAGAACCATTGGAATGGCATCATTTTCCATTAGTACCAATCGTACCATTGCATGGTACCAATGGACCATCGGAATTGCCCTGTACCGAGCCAGACCACATCTGAAAATAATCTAAGTCCCCTTAATGAAATGCACATTTACCAATAGAAC